CTCTCTCTCTCTCTCTCTCTCTCTCTCTCTCTCTCTCTCTCTCTCTCTCTCTCTCTCTCTCTCTCTCTCTCTCTCTCTCTCTCTCTCTCTCCTCTCTCTCCATCCCTCTCTGGCCGTCTAACGCCGCTCCCTGTCGCCAGATCTGCGACCACATCATGGCGGCGCTGGGCCGGGAGGCGGCGCGGCTGCGGGACGAGACAGAGCCGCCGGCCGCGCCGGACACCCACTGCTTCCAGATGCTGTCGATGCTGTTGGCGCTGAGCGGCAGCGCCGTTGGCCGGCAGCACCTGTCTGGCCAGCGGCCGCTGGTGGCCGACTTGCTGGCGCTGCTGCACACGGCGTCGGCGCGCTGCCAGCGCCAGGTGGTTAGCCTGCTGCGCCGCGTCCTGCCCGAGATGACGCCGGCCGCGCTGGCCCAGCTGCAGGGCGCCGGCTGTCGACTGCCAGAGCCGCAGTACGGCGTGGCGGGCGGAGGCGGCGGTGACGGTGGCGGTGACGGCGCCGAGCAGCTGGAGGCCGCCGATGACAGGTGCGTGACCGAGGGCGGCGCTGGACGGCGGGTGTCGGACGGTCGCGTCGGATCGCGCGTGACTGCTTTCCTGTCGCCCAGGGGCGTGCTCGCTCCGTGGCGTCGCCGTCGCTGGAGACACGTGGCGGCGGTGTCTGACGGCTCCTGCGTCCCGCCGGCAGGCCGGGCGTGCTGGACGTGCTGTTCGCCTGCGTGGCCAAATGCCTGTCGGTGCAGGTCAAGTACAAGGAGGGCGCGGCCAAGGTGACGCGCTCGGTGCGTCTGTCGGAGGCACGGCTGGCCGGCGCCGGCGCCACTCGCTGGTGGCTGCGCGGCCAGATGACCTCCAGCGTCGGCGAGCGCGTGCTCAAGCTGCTGCACGACATGAGCGAGGTCGGTGGCCAGGCGCCGCGCCGCGGGACAGGCGGAGCGGGGTCGTGTCTGCTCCCCGCGGGAGGGGAGGGGGAGGACTGGCTGACTCGGGCACTGCCGGATTATTATCTGTTCAGCCCTGATGTGGACAGGGCGAGCTGCCGGATCTAGGCCTCCAAGAAGTGTCAGCTGTTTGACTGGCCCCGTAGCCGGTGCGCCGCCCTTGGCCCCGTCACCGGCAACCGTCACTTGTGACCCCTGACCCCGTCACCGGTGACCGTCACTTGTGGCCCCCCTGACCCCGCCACCGGCAACCGTCACTTGTGGCTCCCCTGACCCCGCCACCGGCGACCGTCACTTGTGGCCCCCCTGACCCCGTCACCGGCGACCGTCACTTGTGGCCCCCCTGACCCCGCCACCGGCGACCGTCTCTTGTGACCCCCCTGACCCCGCCACCGGCGACCGTCACTTGTGGCCCCCCTGACCCCGTCACCGGCGACCGTCTCTTGTGACCCCTCCCCCTCTGACCCCGTCTGGCGGTGGCCGCCAGTCTGACTCGTCTGACCCGTCCCCGTCGGCAGGGCAAGCTCTCAGAGCCGTGGTCGTCGGTGACGCGCCTCAGTGGCCGCCAGTCTGACCTGTCTGACTCGTCTGGCCCGTCCCCGTCGGCAGGGCAAGCTCTCAGAGCCGTGGTCGTCGGTGACGCGCGCCTCGGTGGCCGCCAGTCTGACCTGTCTGACTCGTCTGGCCCGTCCCCGTCGGCAGGGCAAGCTCTCAGAGCCGTGGTCGTCGGTGACGCGCGCCTCGGTGGCCGCTAGTCTGACCTGTCTGACTCGCCTGGCCCGTCCCCGTCGGCAGGGCAAGCTCTCAGAGCCGTGGTCGTCGGTGACGCGCGCCTCGGTGGCTGCTAGTCTGACCTGTCTGACTCGTCTGACCCGTCCCCGTCGGCAGGGCAAGCTCTCAGAGCCGTGGTCGTCGGTGACGTGCGCCTCGGTGGCCGCCAGTCTGACCTGTCTGACCCGTCTGACCCGTCCCCGTCGGCAGGGCAAGCTCTCAGAGCCGTGGTCGTCGGTGACGCGCGCCTCGGTGGCCGCTAGTCTGCTGTCTCTGAGCCGTCTGCAGGCGGTGGACCGCGCGCCGGCCGTCTGCCTGCAGTCGAGCACGCTGTGGCTGGCGCTGGTGTCGCTGTGCGTGCTGCGGCCGGAGCACGCCGAGCGGCTGACGTCCGGACACTGGCGGCCGGCCGGCGGCCAGGCCTGCGCCGCGCGGGTCAGTCGCCGGCCCTGTCGCGGCCCGCGCAGTGCAGCCGGCCACACGGGCCGCCGCTGCCTACAGTGGAGCGTCTAGCGGGATGTATGCTGTCCGTGTTGTGAACCGCTGCTGGTGCCACCAGATGCGGCTGTTGATTCGCGTCATGATTGGTGATTATTGTTGATCAGTTCGGGTGGGTGTCCACCCAGAGTCGGAGCAGCTTCGTGACATTGGTTTCCCTTTGTATGGCTCGTTGTGCCATTTGCCCATTTTTGGAAGTATCGGGCTTAGTGTTTGAACAACACAGACGGAGTACAGGCCAAATGTTGCCAAAGGAAGCTAGCTTTTAGCGAGCGTTCCCACACTCATTTTCATTGAGGGACCCGTAGCGTAGTGCCTGTACGCCGGCGTCGGTGCCTCGGCTGCGGCCACGCTCTCGTGACCGGCTCATCTCGGGCCGCTGCAGCCCACGTGCGACAACCACGACGACGGCGAAACGGCGGCCATCATCCTCTGCTCGGACTGCGGCAACCTGTGCGCCGACTGTGACCGCGTGCTGCACCTGCCGCGCCGCGCCCGGCCCCACCACCGCCAGGTGAGCCGACTGCGACGGCGTGCTGCACCTGCCGCGCCCGGCCCCACCACCGCCAGGTGAGCCGACTGCGACGGCGTGCTGCACCTGCCGCGCCCGGCCCCACCACCGCCAGGTGAGCCGACTGTGACCGCGTGCTGCACCTGCCGCGCCCGGCCCCACCACCGCCAGGTGAGCCGACTGTGACCGCGTGCTGCACCTGCCGCGCCCGGCCCCACCACCGCCAGGTGAGCCGACTGTGACCGCGTGCTGCACCTGCCGCGCCCGGCCCCACCACCGCCAGGTGAGCCGACTGCGACGGCGTGCTGCACCTGCCGCGCCCGGCACCACCACCTGGCGGTGGTGGGACCGGGCGCGGCGCGGTCCCACCACCCGACCCACCACCTGGTCGGACCGTCAGACACAGGGTGCTGGTAGTGTAATGGTTAACGCGTCTGCGTTAACCACTGCGCGTCTGGGAAACCAGAGGTACAGGGTTGGATTCCCCGCGGCGCCCGCCCTTCCTGCCAGGGTGAGAGGCAGGCGACGCCATATAGCCTCAGCAGCTGAGTGCGTCGTAAAGCCCCAACGACGACCGCCAGACACATGCGTGGGCGTGATGGCTTGCGGCCGGCGCGTCGGCAGGTGTTCAAAGAGGAAGAGGAGGCCATCCGGGTGGACCTGCACGAGGGCTGCGGCCGACTGAAGCTCTTCTGGCTGATGGCGCTCTCCGACGCGCCCAGCCTCAAGTCGATGGTGGAGTTCCGGTCGCGGGCGGAGCCGCATCCGGCCGGCGCGCTGGCGGCCGCCGCCGGCCAGTGCCGCTTCTGCGGCGCGCCGGCCGCCGGCCGCGGCCCGCTCGATGCCGCCGGCGCGCCCGTCTGCGGAGAGCCCGAGTGCGCGGCGCACGCGCGCGCCGCCTGCCAGCGCGTGCACGAGTGTGGCCACGCGTGCGGCGGCGTGCGCGACGAGGAGCCGTGCCTGCCGTGCCTGCACGGCTGCAGCGCCGCCTCGCTGCGTCAGGATGCTGACGACATGTGCATGATCTGCTTCACGGACCCGCTGAGCGCGGCGCCGGCCATCCAGCTCAGCTGCGCTCACCTGTTCCACCTTCACTGCTGCCGGCGCGTGCTGGTCAGCCGCTGGCTGGGGCCGCGCATCACGTTCGGCTTCTCGCTCTGCCCCATCTGCAAGGTGAGGCGCCGTCCAGCGGGCCGGCCGTCCCGCGTGCGTCACGCAGCAGCAATGGAGCCACGGGGCCCGGTCACAACACGTGGGGGGGGGGGGGGGGGCATCAAATCAGTGGTAAACCGTAGCATTCAGTTCCGAAACGTCTTTACACCGTCGGAAGCGCAGAGTATTGTGTCTATGCCGATGCACTGGCGGACTTGCGTTCGTTTGTGCCGCGTGCTGTTTTGCCCTTGACAAGGTTGCTGTGGCCGCTCTCGAGGAAGGCTGCCGCGGCGGCTGTCCTGTGCGCTACTGTGCTCCGGTGAGGCGGACCGCGCGTGCCTCCAGGCGTCGATCGAGCACACTATCCTGGAGGACCTGCTCGCGCCGATCCGCGCGCTGCACGAGGACGTGCGCAAGAAGGCCCTGGTGCGCTGCGAGTACGAGGGCCTGAAGCTGAGCGAGGCCGTCACCACGCCCGGCGCTCGCTTCTACGACCAGCTGGCGGCCTTTGCCATGGATCGGTACGCCTACTACGTCTGCAGCAAGTGCCAGAAGGTCAGTGCGTCAGGGGACCAGTCAGGAGTGCTGTGTTCGTGCTCGTCGGCCAGCGGGTTTGCTGTTTCGTGTACCTGCCCGGCATGTGGACAGCCACTGTGTTGCTGTGTCGTCCAGCCTCCGAGTCTGCCTGCCGGACGGAGTCGCGGCGACTGGACTCCGGCTGGTGTCGGGGACGTTGTCGCCATGCCGTCAATTTACCTCGCGTGGCAGACAGTGCTGATGTGCCAGTTCATGGCGTATGAGTTGGGAGTTTGGATTTTGAAGACAATCGACCTCCATCATACCAGAAGGCACTGGTTGATGACGCTGTCAAGCAAACGTCGCTGCGAAAGCCCAACGTTTCGAAGCTGCACCCATTGCCACCGATTAAGAAATTTAAGCAAGTGATGACTCAAAAATTACTGCACGCGAAATGCAGGATGCGCTCCGAATCTGTGCAGGCACTGCCAATAAATTGTCATTAAAATAATGGATCATTCGAGCTCCCATAGAAAAGCACTTGCCATGAAAATGAAACATTACGAACATTGCACGAAGTGACAAAGCTGCCAGCCGTTCAGCCGTACTCGAGGTGTGGGCCATTGTAATCCTCCGACTTTCGCGTCTATGCTTGGTGCAGCCTTTGACGTAGTAATAGGTGGCGGTGGTGGCGGTGAGAAGGATGTGGGATCGTTATTTTGATATTTTTCCGATGACAGTGTCTTCAGAGTTCCATGACACTTCCTGTATTTAACGTGTCTGAGATTTTCCAAGGTTACATTTTGCTTAAACTTGTTCACTCGTGCCTATGAGTACAGCTGTGAAACGTCAGGTTTTCTAAATAACGCCAATGCTTGGCCAATAGCGTCGTTCCTTTACTTTTGCTGGTGGGGTACCACTCTTATTGTATACCTGCCATTTTATTGTGAAGTTAAATTGTTTTCAGTGCAATAACTTCGAACTGTCCATGCTAACAAACCAGGAAGTCAAGACGTGTATTAATTATAACGAGCACAAATTATTTGTTGTGCAGTAGTGCCATGAAAATCGTATGGCCTACGTGTTCGCGAGACCAAAAATCGTGGGTGTGACGGTTGCGAGGGCGTTTAGTCGGTAGCCGGCGAGTGGGTGATACAGTAATCGGTAATAAATGCCCAATGCGTAGTTATAGTCGGGATGAAGCCTGGGCCTTCCGCGGCACGAACTAAGGGACTCGCTGCCCGCTGCGGAGTTTGACCACAGCAATTTCTTTCTAACAAGATGCATTCTGTTTCCCGCGTTGTGTCCCCGGTATCCGAAATCGAGTGCAGCGTGTGGGCGCCGCGGGGCGTCCCCCGAGGCACCGTGCTTGTGCGGGGTCGCGTGTGACGCGGGCGGCGGCCACCAGGCCTACTACGGCGGGGAGGCACGCTGCGACGCGGCGCTGGCCGGCGGCGACGACTACGACCCGTCCGAGCTGGTGTGCGGCGCCTGCAGCGACGTGTCGCGCGCCCAGCTCTGCCCCAAGCATGGCACCGACTTCCTCGAGTACAAGTGCCGCTACTGCTGCTCCGTGGCCGTCTTTTTCTGCTTCGGCAAGACCCACTTCTGCAACGCGTGCCACGACGACTTCCAGCGGCTGACCAGCATCCCGGTGCCGCAGCTGCCCGCCTGCCCAGCTGGTGAGTGGACGCAGCCCGTCCCCCGTGGAGCCGTTACCGCGCGGTCCGAACCCGTGACCCATCCCGCTCGTGGGGCATCTGAGCTTTTGTCTTCTATTTGCATTGTGTTAAAACCAAAGGGCTGCCACGCAAGTACCCAGAAAATGGTACAGCATATACTTAAAAAACACGCTTATTATTGAAAACTGCACGGAGCTGCTATCGTCTTTTTACAAAATGAGTTCCTTTAAAGGGCCTGATGGCCTAGCCAAGTTAAACATCGCCTTACTGGGCTATCATATTGCAATTTTGGCGTTAAGCAACCGTAGATTGATGGAGAAATCTCCTCTGATCAATTTTGAAGAAACCTCTGCATTTTTGCCAACTGAACACGCGCCTTAGAATTATATGCACCAAACCAGTTTTTGATCTCAGAGGAGACGGAAGCGAGAGCGCTGTTTGTTGAACTATTTGATCTTCTGATAGGTCGCATGACTTTTTACATGAATCGATACAAATTCCGATGCAAGTGAGCGTTATCCAATTTCAGCAAAAACTGTGATATCCTTTGGAGAAACGGGATTATATCATGCTAATTTTTGTCTGTGGAAGCTGATAATATGGACTTAACTGACCTGTTTGTTGCTGTCTGCTTCTGAGGCGGACGTGCGCTTCAACACTAGTTTTACAATAAGTTTCCGTCGACGGACGCCTCTATTCGCAATGAAGCACATGCTCGTATTTCGTAGAGAGGCTGAACGCTGAACCGAATGATGGTGAGAACTAAACGCATGTCATTAACTGCAGTGGATGGACTAAGGTTGGAGAACTGGATGTATAAAGGTCACATTCCCTGGACGTCGATTGGCGCGTAGCGCGTGCGGTGGCCGCTGCTGATGGCGTGGCCGGTGTGAGCCGTGTGTCGTCACGTCTCACCGGACGTGTCTGCTTCGGACAGGGCCGCGCGCTGTCCAGCTGGAGGGCACAGAGTGTCCGCTGCAGGTGGAACACCCGGCAACCGGCGAGGAGTTCGCGCTCGGCTGCGGCGTCTGTCGGAACGCGCACACCTTCTAAGCGGCCGTGGACTGACGGCGTCTGCCCGGGAGCCGGAGCACGGCCGGTGCCCGGTCCGGGGTTGGCCGTGCTCCGGGGGCCGGCGCCGGACCGGCCGGCGCGCCGCCCATGTCGTGCGAAAGGTTATTTCTCGGGAGTGAAGTCAGTCGTCACCCCAGCCGGCCCTTGCTTGGTCTGGTTGCTGCCGCCGCCTCCCCTACTGAGGAGTGACGTGGACCCCGGGAGTCGTCGACCAGAGGCGTAGTGCACCGCCCGGGCGAAGCGGGTACCGCTGGGGCAGTGATACATTGTCTTGCCGCGGCCGGTATGACGGCGCAGGATGTACGGCCACGCCCCCGTGCATGGCTGTCCGCTTCCGATGGCTTCCGCTCTGTACGTCCGGTACCGCGCCGTGTTTGCTGTGCCAACTGCGTCCGCTGAGCCAACTCTGTACTGGTTGTTTGGGTGCGGAGGGCGAGAGCATTCCTTGGGTGATCAGATTATTACGCCTGCTCGATGTGCCCCGTTGTTTTAACTTAACGTCAGTCGGCGCGTTGCGGGGTCGCCGCTGTCATCGTAGCCCGCTGCTTTGCCGGCGTCCGTCTTATTTGTTTCGCCGTCACATGACAAGGCCAGCATTGATCCCGTGTCTCTGAATCGGCTCCACTTCCATCCTTGACATGATATTGCTGAAATACTGACCTGGTAGCTCACCCCGGTGTTTTTGCTCCGTGTCGCATCGACGAGGAAGTGACGGCCGTTAGTGACGCCCGCACTTGCTGGCGTTCTCTCGGATGTATACTTGGCATGGAGAAGCATGCTCTTTATGTTCATGGCGAGTGGGTCAGCCGCTCCTGCACAGGTTCCACCCAGGCCTTAGGTTTTATCCCGGTACTCCCAACTCTAAAGGACGCCACTGCACCACCACGTTGTAACATATATAGGTCATCTGACACGAAGAAGAATGTAATGTTCACTGGAAGTCGACCCGATCTCTACTTTCTGAATGCTGAGGCCCTAGTTCCATTAACGGCCGTCCCACGGGCGTATCAGGATATCTTTGTGCATTTGCATGCCAAGGGTGGATGTACATTTTATCGCAGCCCAGTGCAAGCAGTTTGTATGACGTTATATCACGCCCATCAGGTAGGCGTAATGACATATACGTGATGCGGAGAGCGGACTCAAGGGACTGAGAGCGGTCCCCCGTAGTTCCCGTCATTGCCAAAATCGCAGCCATCGTCCGGTCGTTTTCATAATCGACGCGCTGCTGGTAGCTGGTAATCAGTTTTCGGGGGCGCGAGAGTATGGGCTTTTGTGCCCAAAATCGGAAGCTTTAAAACTTTCAATTGTTATTTTTCGCCCAAAACCTTCCGACGAAAATTTGTATGCTTCATATAAGCGCACTTATGTAGTGTTTCGGTCAACTGCATCACATTATATGCATGCCATATGGGAATATGATTTTACAACTGGGTTCACCGTAGCCACCGCCCCCATCCTTCGTTTAATGGCTAGCTCATGTGACTTGCACTGCCCCCTCAAATTAGCTTAGCCGGATAGCCCAACAAATCCCTGCCAGGCCAGTTTCAAGACAATATGTTGATTACACTTAAACACGAAAAGATGATGGAGAATCAGGCTGCTATGTTTCGTATTTCATCTTAACTTATATTATACGTAAGATCCTGTGTTTATTTCTGTTCCGTCCGTGTTTTCTAGGACGCGTGTGCACCTGAGAGACGTTGCACTGGTCTGGTCCTGGTATTTACCCCAACAGCTACATCAAACCTAGGAATGGGCTGGGTCCGTGGCATATCTTTATTGCGTCTCATAAATAAGCATGAATGATGGCAACTGCTTTGTTGAAACGAAATCGTAACAAAGTAATGTAATGCATTAAAATGCGTTACAACAGAAATACAGATTCACAGATTGCAGCCATGTGATATAAATAGCATAGGAATAACACGACACCACCGAACGCGCTGAATAGTAACCCCTCACGCATCCACGATTTGCATGTTCATCGGCGGGACTGTTCGCCCGCCTTGGTGGCGTGGCCAGCCTGGCCCAAAGGCCGCCCAGCCGTGTGAGAGGTGCCGGCTTGCCGCCGAAGGCCGGACAGCTCGTGGAGCTGGCTGGCCCGGGCGTGCCCGGTGCCGGACCGACGTAAGAGGCGGCCGGAGGGCGGGCGCCGCCTCACCGCGGGCAGGGAATGATGGCGCGCGACAGCACGACCTTGCCGAACTCGGCGTGCGCTGACACCAGCAGCTGCACGTCTTCCTCGATTAGGTCCGGGTCCCGCTCCCCTGACGGTCACCACAGAGACGTCAGGACTCGCTCCCCTAACGGTCACCACAGAGACGTCAGGGCCCGCTCCCCTGAAGGTCACCACAGAGACGTCAGGCTCCTCTCCCCTGACGGTCACCACAGAGACGTCAGGGCCCGCTCCCCTGACGGTCACCACAGAGACGTCAGGCTCCTCTCCCCTGACGGTCACCACAGAGACGTCAGGACTCGCTCCCCTGACGGTCACTACAGAGACGTCAGGGCCCGCTCCCCTGACGGTCACCACAGAGACGTCAGGACCCGCTCCCCTGAGGTAACCAGAGACGTCAGGACCCGCTCCCCTGACGGTCACCACAGGTCACCACAGAGACGTCGAGTTCCTCTCCCCTGACGGTCACCACAGAGACGTCAGGACCCGCTCCCCTGACGGTCACCACAGAGACGTCAGGGCCCGCTCCCCTGACGGTCACCACAGAGACGTCGAGTTCCTCTCCCCTGACGGTCACCACAGAGACGTCAGGTTCCTATCCCTGACGGTCACCACAGAGACGTCGAGTTCCTCTCCCCTGACGGTCACCACAGAGACGTCAGGTTCCTATCCCTGACGGTCACCACAGAGACGTCAGGTTCCTCTCCCCTGACTGTCACCACAGAGACGTCAGGTTCCTCTCCCCTGACGGTCACCACAGAGACGTCAGGTTCCTCTCCCCTGACGGTCACCACAGATACGTCAGGTCTCGCTTCCCCGACGGTCACCAGAGACATCAGGTCCTGTTCTGACGGTCACCAGTGAGGTCAGGTCCTGTTCTGACGGTCAAAAGAGACATCAGACCCTGTTCTGACGGTCACCAGCGACATCAGGCCTTGTTCTGACGGTCACCAGAGACACCATATCCTGTTCTGCCGGTCTCCGCAGACATCAGATCCTGTTCTAACCGGGACCGGAGACATCAGGTCCTGTTCTGACGGTCGCCAGAGACACCAGGTCCTGTTCTGACCGTCACCAGACATCAGGTCCTGTTCTGACCGTCACCAGAGACATCAGGTCCTGTTCTGACAGTCGGTCATTGGACATCAGCGCGGCGTCGCGGAGCGCGGCAAAGCGGATGCACGCTAACAGGCAGGCAGCGCTTCTATGTGTCGCCAAAGCCAAGCTCCATGGGTGCCTAGTCCACTCTTGAGGCCAAACTAGGTGCCAGTACCTGGATGGGTGCGCCGCATGTCCCACAGGTCCATGATCTGTGTGGTGAACGCGTCCCAGATGGCCTGCATCAAGTTCGTCCTGTCCCGCGGGTTGCCGATGGCGTGGCAGACCTGCTGCACTACTCCCATCATCCAGTTCTGGCTCCTCTGTGAAAGGCGCACTTGCCATTTGACGTGCGCCCTAAGCGAGATAGCAGCTTAATGTGCACTGCTTGACGAGCAGCTGGCTGAGTTCCAGCCGTTAACTGACCGTTACCCCATGTCTCGAAACTCGTCTTCTGTTGGACACCGTACACCCCGGCTAGGCGCAGTTTACTCTCCACTCAGCGTCGTGCAGTTCATCACGCCCGTCCATAACGACCTCATCCCATCAAACACATGTGCACTGGGTCAGAAGCGCAGGCAGGGGAGCACAGGAGGCACGCACCCCGCTTAGGTTCCCAGGGGCCCTTCGGGCACCTCGGAACCTGCGATTACAGGCCCGAAAAGCCAGCCGGGGGTCTCATTCAGGACCTCCTAGCTGGTGTTGGAGTGCCCGGTCCTGCGGGCCGGGCACTCCAATGCCTGCCAGGAGGCCCTGCGCGCTGCTCAGAGGACCACTGAGTCCATAAGGGGCTACTTTTCGGTCAGGCACAACCAGTAACGCACAGTCGGCTCCGTAGCAGCATGGCTCTGGGGACCCATTTTCCAAACAGAGACAAAGCCGTCGCTAGCGATTTACATTACTCGGGGCCTCACAGCGCCTTATAGGGGCCTTGTGTTGTCAAGGGGCCCCGAGTTGACCAGATTCAGTGCTCGAGGAGGCCCGAAGAGCCAAAGGGGCCCACGGGTCCGGTGATCAAGGGTCCGATTGGAGGGGCTAAGGGTATAAAGGGCTGGTCGGAGTCTTAATCGGGGGTCGCGACCGGCGAAGGCGGGCCCTCAAGTAACGGACAGATGACCCTTTGCGCCGATCAGAGACCCCCTGAGAGATATGGGCCTATATGTCGATCAGGTACCACCGTACCACATAGCTCCATGTCGGTATGCGTCTGAGGACCCACTTGCCACTCAGCTATAAAGCCGGGGCAAGTGATATACACCGGTCGGGGGCCTTGTATGTCAGGGGCCATAGCGCCCAGCAGAGGGCCCTGTGCTCGCAAGGGTCCCGATCCAACCAAGGGAGGTGTTCGATAAGGCCCGAAGAGGGGCCCGAGCGACCGCCAGAACCGACTACCGAAGGCCCGGTGGGAGGGCATAAGGACCCGAAGGACTGGCTGTGGATCCCCAAAAAATCGTGGCCCGTAGGGTCGTGACCTGAAATATCCGTCAAAGGTCCTCTTGCACCGTTTGAGGAACCCCTGACAGAATGCGGGAGTCTGAATTGGTCAGAAACCACGAGCGCCGATTAGTCGGCTCTATGTCCGTATGAACCCTTGAGACCCATTACCCAGGCAGAATCGAGGCCGGGGCCCGTGACTTGCAATGTTCGGGGCCCCTGACACAATTAGGGGCTCTTGTGTCCGTTAGGGGCCACAGCGCCGAACGAGGATCGCGTGGCGGCGAGGGCCCCGAATCGGAGCGACGTGTGAGGGGACCCGAAGAGGGGTCGAAGGGTCTCCCGAGACCAAAGGTCGAGGGCCAGACGAAATGGCTGAAAGGTCCGAACGGCTGCCTGTAGGCCACATTAAGGACCCCGCCCATAGGGCCGTGATCTCAAATAACAGCAATGTGATCTTTTGCACCGATAGGGACCCTTGAGACAGAGCGTTCCTCTATTTCGTCCAGAGATCACGAACAACGAACAGTCAGCTCCGTGTTGGTCTGAGCTCTGGGACCCATTTTCCAAGCAGGGTCAAGGCCGGGCCCGCGATTTACATTGGTCGAGCTCCTGTGTCGTTCAGGCGCCCACAGCGCCTAACAGGGCATTCTGTGCCAACAAGAGGTTTCGATTCAGTCGGGGGAAGATTTGTTCAACGTGGACGGGGACGGGAGCCCGAATGACAGAGGGTCTCTTGCGTTAGTCGGGGCTCTCTGACAATTAAAAGAAACCCAATAACTTATGAGTGCTCACATTGTGATAATATGGGGCAGCACTTCCCACGGCCTGGTACCAGCCGCCGGGCCGACGCGCGCGGCCTATGGAGACTGCAACGCCTAGCGTGAGTATTTTGTTTCTTGGATATGCAAGCGCGCATGCTCAAAACTGCTACAAAGCTTGTACCACTAATGAATTCTGACCGTTGAACATATCCAGAAGACATGGCTTGGCCACATTGGCACCAGTTGTTGTCCATTGTCCACTGGACCATTGCAAAATGAGGAGCGCCAGCGATCTATTTCATCTTTGGCAATTTATTAAATTATAAAAACCATTGTAAGGTAAGCTAGGCAGGCTCGTGAACCCAGACCATGTCTTTTACTGACCACGTCACGCGGCTCGGTTTGGCCGCGCCCGCGGCTTTTTTTCACCGTTCGGCCGGCCGGCCGGCCTGCGTGCCGCCTGTCCGCCATTAATTCATTTATTTATTTCATGCCGTCATTTAACGCATTATTTTGTCAGCGTATCTGCTGTAAACTTATGGCGGAGTCGATCTCGCGGTAGCGTCTTACCTTGATTCCAGCTGTAGAAAATATCAGACACACACACGCACGCACACACACACACACACACACACACACACACACACACACACACACACACACACACACACACACACACACACACACACACACACACACACACACACACACACATATATATATATATATATATATATATATATATATATATATATATATATATATATATATATATATATATATGCATATATACACGATCTCCCAGAAAACATGTCAACAACAATAGGGCCACATTCGGTGATTTTTTTTTTGGGGGGGGAGCTTTTGACCATTACGGGGCCCTTGGCAACCTTGTGTCTCCCCTTCTCAAGGCTCTGGCTGCGCCCCTGCATTAGATACCGGCCATCGAAGCCCGAGCTCTCGCGCCGCCCTAAGCACTGGGCCGCCGGCCGCGGCCCGCGCCGCCCAGAGCACTGGGCCGTCGGCCGCCGTCCGCGCCACCCTGAGCACTGGGCCGCCGGCCGCCGCCCGGGCCGCCAACTCACGTTGAACTTGTGCGACATGATGCAGATGGCTCCCAACAGGCGCGCCACCTCGCCGATGCGGCCGTTGAGCGCCTTGTTGGCCAGCAGCAGGACGGCTAGCCTATCGCCGGCCAGCAGCAGCAGGCAGGCCACGTTCTCGGCCAGCCAGTGGTCGGGTGCGCTGAACAGGTCCTCGAGCAGCGCCACCAGCGCGGCGTCCGTCCAGCCGGCGCCGGCTGTCAGCCGCGCCAGCGCCGCCGCCAGCTCGGCGAAGTGTTGCGCCGCCTGCTGCGCGCCGTGCGGGATGCTGTCGGTCGTCTCGTCCCACAGGATCTCATCTGGCGGCCGCATGTTCGCGCTTGCCAGAACCGCGCGGGACGCTCGCAAGTCACGTATGTGCTGACGACCGTGAAAGATGACTATCGACAGATTTGAGGCATGGATGGCGTGATAGGAAGCGGTCCAGCACCGTCACCCGGCATTCAAGCCTTGCGTGAGGCAAGTGAGACAGACCTAGATGGCGACGTGGTGCGAGGACAGGACCCACTCACCATGTGTGCGGGGGCCATACAGGAGGTACATGAGGCGTGCTTGGCGGACGATCGGCTGGGGCGCTAGGATGCGGTTCATCCAGAACTGCCGCTCCCGCATCGTCCGGCACGGGTCCAGGTACAGCAGCCTGCAACCGCGCCGCGGGCTGAGGCCCTGCTGTCCACCTGGCTCGCTCCCTATTCACACACACAGGCTACAGTCGACTCGCGAGTACGCATGACAGTTCGTCTCAGGGCCGCGCCGCGGGCTGAGGCCCTGCTGTCCACCTGGCTCGCTCCCTATTCACACCCACAGGCTACAGTCGACTCGCGAGTACGCAGGACAGTTCGTCTCGGGGCCAAAGATGAGTGGCGCCCAACACAACTGGCCTGTTACCTGTAGAAGAGGCGCAGGTTGACCTCGTCCTCTTTGGCGGCGCCCGGCGGACTGCTGAGCACTCTCTCCACCAGCTGCACCGTCCGAGACCGGCCCTCAATGGTCTGAAACACCTGACGACAGACGGCGGAGCCTTCAAGTCAGGTCCTCCAGTGCAGGCAATGCCTGTTGACTGCGGACGCCTTTCGGTATCCATTGCTTTCTTAGCCATAGCTTTCCGCAATTAGAACTAGTTCCACCGCGATTTTCGCGTCCGAAGGCGGTAAACCCGCATCATCTGATGGGATTGGGCCCAACCCACTTAACATCAGGGGCACATCTCTTGTCCGGCAGCTCTAGCATCGAATCATGTGACGGTGGCCATCTGTACCTCTGCCCGTGCTGGAGCCAGCCGTCTGTCTGCGGCAGGCTGACGGGTGCCCCGCTCACCGGGGTCTCCCACTGATGGCCGCCCAGCTGACCTTGTCGCACTCGCACTCCTCCCAGCCGGCGATGGCCGCGTGCAGGAAGCGGCCGTAGCAGGCGAGCGTCACAGCACTGGGCATGCCCGGGCTGTCGCCGTTCCAGTATGCGTCCACCTGTGCACGAGCGCGGTCTGAGGCGCGCGCCCGACGGCGCGACGCAAGACGCACGGGCGCAGGCCGCACCGGGCCCTCCTCCGCGAGGCGACAGCGATGTGAGGCGGCGGGCGGCCGCTCAGGCCAACCGCCCTCTCTGGCCCGCTCCCAGTGAAAACAAAGTGGTGCGAACTTATACCCATCCACACCTAACAGGCGGTGCGAAAAGAAGGGTTTGCGCCGGTCGGTTGTATGCACCATGTTGAAATAAAGGTGGTGGTAATTTGTCGTAGGCCCTACCCTCCATGCGTATTACCACCTTCGATAAACGATCTTTCGAAGGTTCGCAGTTTCGAACACGCTTGACAAGGCAAACGCAAGCAAATATTTGCAAACTTTTAAATGAGAGGCTCATTGTGCATCACATACCCTGTCGACGAAGTTCCATAGTATCCTGAGCCTGTCACGGGTGAAGTAGAGACAGGTGGACCGCTTCTGCAGCAGTCCCAGACGCTGGAACTGGTCAACAAACGCTAGCGTCAAATAACAACGCCTTCACTGTGGTTTAGACAGCCACGATAGCGGCAATGCAAACGTAGAAGGCCTCACCCGTGAGCAGCACCACTTCACAAGACATGCGGAGGCATTTACCATTTATCACATAAAAGCGAACAAAGGATTCGCGTGTAGTGCACGCCATCCGGAGCCATGTGCCGCCGACCTGTTTCTTTTTATGAACAGAACGTTGTGCACGCCGTTGCCAGGTTCTTCAGAGAGCGTCAGCGGCTGGTCTAAAATAAACGTATAGCGACCGTGCGTCGTCCGGGAAGGAGCCCGAAACTCCCATGCAGAGTAGTGTGTAGGAGCATGGGGGATGCCCTCCCCCTTGAGGCTGTTTGACATTAAACCTATCGTGATGCATGGAAAAATATCACAAATTGACAATGACCACCATTTTTTTAAACATTCCTACAGTGATAGCAGAAATTATCTGCGACCCCAAGCGAGCTAGTTGGAGCCCGTGCCAGCAGACGGCTGACCGTGGTCAGGAGGCCGGTGCCGGGTCGGCATGGCGGCTCTTCGAACACGTGACGCGGCAGCAGCGAAGCGAGCGCACCCGGTGTCGCCAGCCACGCCTCCACCAGATCGCGCGTGCTCTTCGAGGTCACCGTCAGCGTACTCAGGTCAACAGCTGGAATAAAGCGCCGAGCTCATGCGGCAAATCATGCGCAATAGCTTCAGGCCTAGCTCCATTTCTGGGGCGCCTCCATATGTGGCCTGCCAGTCACAGTGCCGAATAACTTGCTCCGAAACGACACAGCCGTTGAAGCGATCACTTACCATCTAGCCACCCAAATACGTTGTGAATGATTTCCGGAGGCAGCATGTCGAAGAAACCGACCGGGCAATCCGCCACGTATTTCAGTTTCACTTCTTGCATTTCTTTCAGTTCCAGGCGCGACGACCGGCGAGGTTTCTTGCGAATCGGCAGATCCAACATGTTCACTGCCAACGGCTCAGGAAAATACTGAAACGGCAGGGATATGGGCTAGTAAGCCATCAAACCGTTAGGTAGATAATCTTACGGAATCCTCTCTGACCACCGTCATTATCCCACTCAGGGTAGAATTTGGTAATTACGTTGGCAAAGGCTATTGATTTGAGTGCAGTCTTATTGATCGCTCGAAGAATGTTATCCTGATGGTAAAATTAAAAGGTTGAACAACGGTTCCGCCAGCGGTAGGTGGCTATTGGCCTGAGTTCGAGCAAATGCAAACGCATTTAGGAACGAACACAGCCGTGGACCCGCGTTGCTCAGAATACATCCTCAACTCATCCCCACTGCTGTACCTAGTGGGGCTAGTTAATAGGGTACCTGAGTATGCGACGGCTTTTGCACGCCCCCGTCAATGCCAGAATTAGTTCCTGCATGTCGTATGTCGGTAAAAAATTAAACAAATGACTAACACCACGCGCCAAACAAGGTGTGAGCCATCGCAAAAGAATCGCGTGGGCTGCAAATTAAAAAAAAGACAGCCGATGGGAACAGCACTACCCGCATAAATGGCCAGGGCTGCAAAGTCGGCCGTGTTGAAAGTAGGGGATCAGGGGCATACCTACGACAGCAAACTACCCTCGCAGCCTCCGCACTGATACAGCTGCGGCCCTCTCGAAAACCTAATTTCCGTCCGCCAGTCTCTAATCAAGCCGTTACCATCATACACCAAATGTAATTACAGCAAAGCTAACTGCAAAAGTTACCCCCGACACAACCGCTTATGGCAAACCACAACTGCAACGCAACAAAGTCCCGGAGAATTATAGCCGGAGCAGAAAAACCGGGAGACTGAAAATAGAGTCCGCAACTTTTCGTAAACGTAGCAAGCAAAATTGAAGTCTGTACGTAACAGCGTATCGACTGTGAATTGGTTACACATATCGATTGAAGGAAACGCACAAAAGTTGTAAAATTTCCAGGAAACATTAGTGACAGGGAAGTAGGATGGTGTTGCACGGAAAATCTTGACTAAATTCAAGTGCTTTAAAAAAATATTTTTACGTTTTTGGCGCTGATGTGACATACCCTCGCGCAATCCAAACCTGGGAAGGAAAAGGGTTTTTACGGAGTATAAACACCGGTAAACTTTTGCGGGGTGTTTGCGCGTTAGATTTAGATATTGCAGTTACGTCTTTTTGCGAGCTGCTGGGGTTTTGGGTTTGCTGCGGCTATTAGGCATGAAAAGGTACATTAGCTTAGGAGTGCGTTTTTTCGTTGGCTTGTGTTCAAACGTTAAGGGGCTGTGTCCCGGTCTTAGCAGACCCACAGACGAAGCATGCGTGCAAACATGATCATTCCTTTTTCAAAGTAGATGCGAAGAGAGACGATTGCAATGGCGGTTGTAATGTTTTTGAAATGTTCTGTCAAGCTGCTGAGTTAATCACAACTACACCAGTAAACTTTGTGTGAAGCCTGCTATGGAGATACCAGCTAATCGTTGGTCCATAGCTACTGTGTTTGTTTTGCTCTCTTTTAATATGTTCCAGGTGCAACCCCTGAGTCTTTAGATAAAAGGTGGTGTCGCCTGAAGCCATGAATATTTGTCTTGTGGCTGAGGAAGTGCTATGGGTGTTTAAGAGGAATGTTTGCACATGCTACATCAACTGTAATGCATGCCATAGAACTAAGTGATGAACCACATGATTGAACATATAGGTGGAGTTTACAAGGCCATGGTTTAAGAGCTGGGGATGTGTAAAGCATTTGCAACAAAGTATTACAGACTGCATGTTTTAATCATGTCGCTGGAACTCTCAGTCAGGAAAAAATGTGTTATCATGTTTTAAAAGTCACCTTGGCACAGTGTCTCTGTGTCACCCCTGGCCCTAATGTACAGACCCTGTTGAGGCAGTATCTGCAGTTAATTTGGAGGTGTATTTCAAGACCTATGGAAGTAGGCCTAAAAGGCTGTTGAATTGGTTATATCATTCAAGTAGGGCTAACATGCTGTTAAAGGGATGAAGCAATAGAGAGCCAAGACTGTATACAGTATTTGTAAGGTATCCCTGATATGAAAAATTATCTGAGTGCTGAAACTACTGTCAATGCAATACATAGGGTGCATGGGAGGTATTATTTTTACATATAGCCAGGTGTGTGGTCTCATCAGCCCTGCAAGGCAATTTTTTTCTCCAGTTACCACATGACCACATGCTTTCTAAGTGGTGTGCAGCCTCCAGCCCAGTCTATAACAAAGCAGTACAAATGCAAAACCACCACAAATCAGCAATTGGATCACTGCTAGAGAGCCTGCCCCACATGTATGAATATGTTTAAAAATTATGGTGGCATGCACTGGCAGAGCTGTTGTGTTCCCTTTGCTGCAAATTACTCTTTGCTAACCAATTTGATATTCAAACAGGATGATATTAAGATGAGTCTTAGGCCCCTGAAATGCTTCTGCTAGATCCAGGTTCACAGCTTCATGTAACTATGCTATGAATTGAGGATAATGAGATCTGTGGTGCTGTGAATGAAATGAAAGCTTTAAGAGCCTGGTACATTATTGTGACATCAGGGGCAAATCCAGGATTTTGCCAGGGGGAAAGCCACACAACATTATGGGCTCCCTAGACTTTGGGGCCCCTCCAAAAAATGCACTTATGTTCCAGTCAGTAAAGTTTAAGATATATAGTAAATACCATATATATGTAGTAAATATGTGAACCTGTCTTGCTGCAATGAACCTGAGTATATTATACACACACATACATGGATGTCATTCATTTTCTCTGGATTATGTCATATCCTGTGATTTTGAGGCTGTGTTTCAGAAAAAAACAAGCAAACTAAGCTCAAGCTGGCTGTTAAATACTCTCAAAACCAGCACAGACCTGTTTCCTACCTTAATTAGGGCTATCTGGCAGGGTGATGTAAGCAGCTGGTGGCTGATAACTAATGCATTATTTTTTAGTTGTTACAAATGAGTACAAAATATCCTAGCATTCAAAAGATATCAAGAATGTGATGCACAAGTTTGGTGAGTGTCACACACTCAATGGGCAAGGGAAATGATGAATGCAATGTTGGAGGCACATAAAATTGCCTTCGACAATTGCGTGTAAAAGTTCATGGGTGCATATTCGACTGCTGCTCTAAGGTTAAGGCACCAAGGCTAATAGGTACAGAACCTGACGGACCATGGCTGGCCGCGAGGCCAACGAAGAGGCTGCCGTCGATAGGTATAGGGTCTTCGAGGCAGGTGAAAAGAACCCAAGACCAACGTGGTGGGCCCCTCAACGATTGGTAGTTTCCAGGCAGGCTGACATATAGGGCCCCGGCCAGAGCACAGGACCCTCTGAGCAAAGGGAATTATGCAAGACCATCAATTGATACCCCTGTGTGATCAAAAGTGCCCGGGCAGGTTAACAGAAAGAGTCTGGATAGCAGTGAAGAGTCCTCCACAAATGAGATCAAAGGGAGAGAGCCTTCGATCAGAGTAAAGAGCCCCTGAACATCGGGTGTCTCGTTGCCTTACCTTACATGAGCCCCAGCACAAGACCCTCCGAGCAAATGAGAAGAACCCGAGATATGAAGGGCTCCTGAGCAGCTGAGTGTACCCAGACATATGGGTTCCAGGAAAAAGTGTAAAGAGCCTTTTGGGCGAATTGGAAGAATCGGTGGAGGGTCCGTGATCGATCACGGCACAGAAGCAGATAGTGACCCAACAGCAGCGTTGAGATCATGTAGGGAAAATGGGAAAAAACGTTAAGAGATCAATGAAAACGTGAAAGGCTCCTTGGCGATCAGATTGACCAGGCGGGTGGACATATATGGCCTGGGCAACAGCGAAAGGCCTCTGGAAAGCACAATGAGCCCCGCAATTTCTCTCAATCACCATCCTTTCAATCAGCGAAGATTTAAATCTGCTTGCTTATAAGCCATTTACTTTCATTTGCAACCGTCCTCGGTCGTCTGTAGGCCCAAGCACGTCCAATTTTGTCGTATTTTTATTAGAAATATGTGTCCGTTCAGTTGGTTATCGGCCGCTTCGAGGCCTATGAGTCCTCTCGGCATGGTCCATGGGCGTGGTCCGGTGCTCCCCCCTTTATATCCGCCACCGGCCCAAGCAGCTTAATAGATGGCGCCCGCTAAGAACATAGGGCCATCCGTTCAAATAAGAAGCATTCAAGACAACATGGCTCCGGGGTGATCGAGTACGCGAGAGCAGGTTAACAGATAGGGCTCCCGTCAAGAGCGTAAGGCCTTCCGTTCAAATATGAAATACCCACGACACGATAGAGAGGGCCCGCGAATGATCGAGTGTGCCATAGCAGATTAACAAGCAGGGCCCCCGTCAAGAGCGTAGGGCCCTCCATTCAAACAAGAAGCACGTAAAATCCGGTGTAAATGGCCCCCGAACGATTGAGTGTGCACGAGCAGCTGATTAGAGGGGGCCCCGACAAGAGCACAAGGCCCTCCATTCAAATACGAAGTACCCAACACCCAGTGCGGAGAGCCCCAGAAAGATGAAGTGTACCCGAACAGATTATCAGATTGCCCAGATGGAATTGTAGGGCCATAAAGTCAAACATCAAAACCAAATGTGCAAGGCCCCCGTACAACCCAGCGTCGCCGGGGAAGTGAACAGGGGGCCCCCGCCAGCACGTAGGGCCCTCCATTTAAAAAGGAAGCACCCAGTACCCAGTGAAGAGGGCCCTTGAACGATCGCAGACTCCCACGCCGTTTATCAGTAGGCGCCGGACAAGAGCGTAGCCCCCCCCCCCCCCAATCAAATAAGAAATACCCAAGACCCAGCGTGGAGGGCCTGCGAAAGAGCGAGTGTATTCCACCAGGCCATCAGATGACCCTTGACAGGAGCGTAGGGTCCTACATTGAAATACCCGGGGTGCAGGGTCCCCGAACAATCGAGTGTGCCCGAGCAGGTTAACAGATGAGGCCCCAACAAGTGCATTTAGTCATCCATTCAAATAAAAAGCACCCAAGACCCAATTTTGTGTGCCCCGAACGACCGATGTGCCCAAGGAGGTTACCAGATGGGCGCCTGGCAAGAGTGTGAAGCCCTAAGCAAGTCATAGAGAATTGGAAGGGCCCTAAACCAACGTAGAGGGCTCATGAGCATATCGCGAGTGTGTCGGTAGGCTAATCGAGACCGACATAATGGGCACCTGAGGCACCGAGAATACCTCGGCAGGTTAACATGTGGGGCACCAGCTATAGCGTGCAGAGCTTTTCCGGCGAATGAAAAGAATCTGTGGAAGGCCCCTGATTGACAAGAGTGCCCCGACACGCTAGCAGGAAGGGTCCAGCAACAGTGCAGGGCCCCCTGGAGTAAATGCTATAAATCGGGGCAACGCGGAAGACTACTCAACGATCAGGATGACCCTGCAAGTGTGCACGTAGGTGTCCCGGAAACGGCATAGGCCCCCTGGACAGCGTAATGAGGCCTAACATTACCAAATAACAGCTTTTCAATCATCGAAGTATTGTTTTTGTCTATTCGTGGGCCCTTTACTTTCCCTTGCGGCTGTTCTTCGCCTGGGGTATGTTGTCCTGGGGTGCTAGGGTATGTTGTCGCCTGCAAGTCCAAACACGCCCAATTTTGTTGCATTTTGTGTTTCAAAAAGCTGCACCTGTTCGGTCGGCTATGGGCCCCCTCGGAACCAATGGGCCCATGTGGAGCCCAAGGGGGAAGCCATGGTCCCTTGCCCCCCCCCCCCCTTGGGAGTTGCGGGGACAGTTGCAAAGCAGGAGCAGTCATTAGTGCACAGGGATATAGCCCTAGGGTATGTTGTCCTTGTTTGACTCAGTTTGCCTGGATTTGCCCAATCACATAACACATATGATGTTAATGTGAGAGCAGAAGTGAAGAGGATACTGATGCTTCTTAGCAGTCACGACCATGCTTTATGGACCATGCCAGCAGTCCAACTGGTCTGAGTTTTCACTGACATTCTCCACTCATTCTAAAACCAAAGAACTTGCAAATTCTCACACAGTCTAAAAGTAAGGGGTTGCCGGCAGTTATGATTTTTCATTGTCTGTCAGCATGCTTTTACTTAGGTTGTCAGAATTTGGCTTGGGCTATAGACCAAACCATTACATCAACCCTTAACCATTTAAGGAAGTATGTGTAGATGTTAGGGTGGATGATCAGAGGTGCAAGTTTTCAATGAAACTTGCTAAAGCTGGTTCTGGCCTGTGTTGAACTGTTACATGATTCCTATAGGCTGTAGTGGTAAGGGCTGTATATGAGAATGGCTGTGTAAAAAAGTGAAACCCTTACATCACAGCCAAAAGAAGTCTGCCAGCCAAAAGCCATCAGCAGTTGTTGTGATCTTCTTCCCAAAGGATCTCAACATCTTGTAAATATTGACCGAGCATGGATTCAAAACCAGCTCCATCCTTGAAGGTAGAAGAGGAGGCGCTGGAAGGACAGGAGCTGACAAATAAATACCTGAATGGTGAGTGTTCCTTTCCTGCCACAAAATCCTAGTGGTTCTAGCATATATGCCACAAACTTGTGGGTGTTTTGTCTAACTCCTAACTGCCTGGATTATGCCATTAAATGTGGTACATTGATACATTTTGCCAGTGTGAGCATATTTGGTCAATGACAACAGTTGTGTATTATGGCGCGCAATTGTAATGCATCTGTACACAGGGGAGCTGTCTTTCACTGAGTATGCTGGGCTGCTGGCTGGGGAGGATGATGATTCAGTGGAACTGGATGAGGACATTGACTTGGACCTGGACGAGCCAGATGTCGGTATGGAAGACGACAGCGCAACAGGTGATGTTCCTGAAAAAAAAACGTTGGTGGTCGTACTCTGTTGCAGACCACTGGTGTGTGGATGCTGATTTCATCCAGCCTGCATTCTCTGGCATTGAGGTGACGTTTAGGGTGCATTATTTGTGACCTGGACTAGTTTTTGCTTCATTCCATGCTGGATTTTGCTGCCAGTCTAGTCTGTTGCTCTCGTTGGGCGCGTGTCCACACAAAATTAGGGTTTTTGATTCAGCGTAACATGCAAGTACCGAGGCTATGGCCAGCCTACCACTGTCGTCGGCCCGTTCGGCCGTCCAGTGTACTCGGTGACGTTCTCGGTGTGGTGCCGTCCGTCAGGCGAGCCCCGGCCCGACTCTGCCGCACCGGCCGACGTTGACCGGCCGGACGGCGAGCTGGCGACGCGCCGCGGCGCCCGGCGCGCCAGGAGGAAGCTGCTCCGGCGCCGCACACTGCCGGCCGTGCTGCAGGTCAGCGGCGGCGCCACCACTCCGGCGCCCCTCGGCTCTGTCTGGCTCCCGGCCCGTCGCTGCGACTCTGGCTTTCGCTCGCTCTTGCTTACTCGCTCCTGCCTTCACCTTCTTTGCTGTTGCTTTTGGTTTGCCGCTCTCCTGATCCTTTATTCGCCTGTTCTTTCGATTTATCGCTCCCCCACGGAGGCGAAGTCTTCAACACAAATCTTCTCAACCTGGACGGCATGGCGTACGCGGTTTTCAGATCATCCTGAAAGGTATGTGTCTCAAACAGCTGGTCGTCAAGCCCGTCCAATTCCAACCTACGCCAACACTGCCAGACCTGATCGTTACCAACGTACCGGTCTCCGGGACTCAGCTGAGGTCCCCGAGCCTGTGGCGGACCACCAACCGGTGCTACGCCGTGCTCCCGTCCCCAGAGAGCGCTGGTGGTCAGTCACGACCACCGCGCGACCGTGGAACCGCGTCGACTGGAACGTGCCCAACCTGAGTCCGCTGCTCGCCGATTGGGAGGCGCTCTACGCCGCTGGCACTGCCGATGGCAAGGTGGATGCATTTATGGAAGTGTGGAACGTCGCAGTCGACGCTCACTGTCCGACCATCGCCGTGACGTCACGCCAGTCCGGCTGTCCACGGCTGCGTGGAGATACCGAAGTCTCCGCAGCTGTGGAGGAGAGCGACAGCGCCCGCGAGACCTGAGAGCGCTGCCGTTATCACAGAGCCGCGCCGGGCGGAGGCACTCATGCCCACTTCGCTGTCATTGGCTCCCGCATCACTGCGGAGCCGGCGGTGGTGCGTGGTAATGCGGGTGCGTCCCCGGCTAGACCGCGCCCGTACCTTGTCTGTGCCTCGGCGTCCTCCCTGCATCCAGCCACTCCATCGGAGCTTTCTGCAGCCACCGGGAAGATGAGCGCGTCGAGGGGTGTCAGTGTCGATGGCGTACCATTATATGCAGTGAAAGGGTGTTTCCCTGTAATCGGCGGTGATCTTGTACATCTGATCAACTTTCTGTCATATCACGCACCTTTCCGTCCGTCTGGAAGATCGCGCGCGTCACTCCGGCGTTCAAGCCGGGCGATCGATCAGACCTGAACAACTTTCGGCCCATTTCTATTCTCTCTGTACTGTCCAAAACTACCGAGAAGGTCGTCTGCTCGCGGTTCACTTCTTACCTTGTTGACAATCATGTACCGACGCCATCGCAGTATGCTTACCGTCCACGTCACTTGACGGAGGGCGCCCTGATCGACGCTGTCGGATGGCAGGCAGGGGCTGTCGACAACGGCCGTGTCGCGTCGATAACGACGATTGACCTTAGCAAAGCCCTTGGCACGGTTGGTCACGGTGTCCTCAGCGAGCTGGAATGGTGCGGGGTGTCCTCGGGATGGTTTCGGGACTACCTGAGCGGTCGAAAGCAGGCGGTCAGTGGTGGCTCGGTTACCTTATCTCTATTCCACGGGGTGGCCCAGGGATCCCCTGCCGGCCCCACCATGTTCCTCGGGATGGTTTCGGGACTACCTGAGCGGTCGGAAGCAGGTGGTCAGTGGTGGCTCGGTTACCTTATCTCTATTCCACGGGGTGGCCCAGGGATCCCCTGCCGGCCCCACCATGTTCCTCATCTTCATCAACGACCTATTTAGCTTCCTACCCCACGGCCGCCTACTATCTTATGCCGACTTCTTGACTTCGCTACCTCCGATGTCGTCGGTCTGTCCCACCTGAAAGCCCATGTCGGGGAACCCATTCAGTGCCTTCAAAACAGGTTTCAGTCAAATCTACTTAAATAAATCACCAAAAGACAGATTTCATGCTAATCGGCACCAAACCCTCTATAACAAAGACCGGCGACTTCCACATTACCATCTCCGGCACAAACATTCATCCATCACCTTCAGTGAAGGTACTGGGTGTACTCTTCGACCACCATCTCACCTGGGAACCCCACATGTCCTCTCTCGTTCGGTGCTGTAATGCGATTCTCGTATCCCTGTTCAAAATCCGACGCCACTTCACTCCTGAGGTTTTGAAGCTCCTTATCCAAATCCACCTCTTTCCCCGCATTCTCTGCTGCCCGTCCATCTGGGGTGGAGCGGCCGAGCGTCACTTAGACAGGATACAAAGGATGATGCACTTGGCAGCCAGGCTAGTGAGTGCTGTCCGCCGCAGCGATCACATTTCACTCGTTCTGGAGGTGCTCGGCTGGCGTGGCGTCACGGATCTCGTTCACCACCGAGACCTCCTGAAGGTGTACAGGGCACTGCACGTCCCCGGATCTCCTGAAGGTGTACAGGACACTGCACGTCCCCGGATCTCCTGAAGGTGTACAGGGCACTGCACCTCCCCGGATCTCCCAGTGCACTGCCTGCTCTATTCATAACGCGCGCCGAGTCTTCCCAACGCCAAACTCGGGCTTTTTCGGGCGGCGTCGGCTCGATACATCTGCCACGTGTCCGACTGAGCGCCACTCAGCGACACTTTCCGTACCGCGCTGCCGCCGCGTGGAACCGGCTGCCTGCGGCGGCCATCCGCGCCCCCTCGCGCCAGGCATTCGTGACTGTTAAATCGCTGACTCACTGACTGAAAGTGTGTATCTATGCGTATGCGTGTATCTCTGTACTGTGTGTGGGTTCTTTTTTCTTGTACACAAGGCGCAGTGCAACCACCAGGTGGATGCGCCTTAAACGAAATAAATGTAACTGTAACTTCGACTCGCCTCCCTTGTCCTCGCCTCAAACTCGCTATTTCAGTCTAGGCAACCTCCCATTGTTCTCGATTTCCCTATGTCTCCTGCTCTCAGGGCGTCGCACTTTTGCCGGGTGCTCGTCGCCCGTCTTCGGGCGATATGCTGAGGGAGGTGCTGCTGCTCCCTCCTCTGCTGGAGGACGTCACCGCACGTGGGAGCGCCGACGTACACTGGGGTGACCAGGCACGTTTGTCATGTGCGGGGTATTGGCAGTGTCATGATGTTAAGCCAGGTCTCTTTTTGCTTGTTACCAGGGCATGATGGGCGAGGCAAACCTTCGGTACGCTCGAGGAGACACAGAAGTCGCTGAAACCATCTGCAAAGAAATCATCCGCCAATGTAAGTTGGTTACAACTCTCATGAAAGAGGGAACTCTAGCACGGCTTCAGCTCGTATGCATTATAGCACATGGTCGCGAAACTGCTGGACTTCGCCATCTGGCAGGTTCCGGTGGTCAGTTGCTCCCATAAGCGCGCTGATATGCCTTGCCTGACTGGCTCGTCTCCTGGAGAGGCTTTCTTCGCCTGTCTGGCATCCGGGCGTGCCTGCTTCTCTAAGAGAGTCCCTCTTCCCCGTCTTCACCGCCGGCTCACCACCGCGGACCTGCGATCCTCCGACACTGTCCCCAACGCTTCCATGTCTCCCTCGTTTCCCTGCTTCCGTTGTCCCTTGGCTCACTATCTGTCCCTACATTTGCTGCTACTTGTGTCTCACCCACAAGGCCGTGCGCAGGATGCGCAGTGGAAAGGGCGGGGGAGGGGGGAGCGGGCACCCAACTGAAAGCAATTCACCGAAACTCCAGGTTATTGGGGCATAGGCGTGATAAATTCTTTGCATTGACATAAAGCGGGGCATCGTATGTCCTCGATATGACTGGCATTACCGGCATGCCTCGAATGCTTAATTGGCAACACATATGCACGCACATCTTAATGCATTTAATTAATCGATAGGGGCAGAGGACGTGCTCGTGTGGGTCACTACGTGCGTACACCCGTGCTGACCCATCCTGCCTTCACCCTGGCTGCCACTGTCTCCAGACTCGCGCCGCCATTCCTTTCCGACCTGCGGCTGCGCCCTCCCCACTTGGCGAGCGCGCCGGCGGTGACAGGGCGGCGCGCCGGTCGGCAGCCCCGCTGGCGCCGGAGCCTTTCCAGACCATGGCCATGATGCTGGAGGAGCGTGGCGAGCACGACCGCTCGCTGCAGTACAGTCTGATCGCCGCTCATCTCGCCAAGCCCGACCTGGACGAGTGGCTGCGGCTGGCGCGCATCTCCGAGCAGAAGAAAAACCACAAACAGGCCATCACTTGCTACACGCAAGGTCAGATCCTGTCCACCCCACCACAGGCGCGGCGGACCGGGCAGCCGGACCGGCCAGTACATTTCTCCTGGAGGCTAACTCAAAGCCGACTGTATTGTGTGTAAAAAGTATTATTTGAAATGGGTTGTGAAGCGTCACACTTTGGTTGATTCCCGCGCCTTTGGCTTAGCAGCCCTCAGTCAGGGCTTACGCACCTCCAGTCAGTAGTCAGGACTTACGCACCCCCGATCAGTAGTCAGGGCTTACGCACCTCCAGTCAGTAGTCAGAGCTTACTCACCTCCGACCAGTAGTCAGGGCTTACGCACCTCCAGTCAGTAATCAGGGCTTACGCACCTCCAGTCAGTAGTCAGGGCTTACGCACCTCCGACCAGTAGTCGGGGCTTACGCACCTCCAGTCAGTAGTCAGGGCTTACGCACCTCCGACCAGTAGTCAGGGCTTACGCACCCCCGATCAGTAGTCAGGGCTTACGCACCTCCGATCAGTAGTCAGGGCTTACTCACCTCCGATCAGTAGTCAGGGCTTACGCACCTCCGATCAGTAGTCAGGGCTTACGCACCTCCGATCAGTAGTCAGGGCTTACGCACCCCCGATCAGTAGTCAGGGCTTACGCACCTCCAGTCAGTAGTCAGAGCTTACGCACCCTCGATCAGTAGTCGGGGCTTACGCACCTCCAGTCAGTAGTCAGGGCTTACTCACCTCCGATCAGTAGTCAGGGCTTACGCACCTCCGATCAGTAGTCAGGGCTTATGCACCTTCAGTCAGTAGTCAGGGCTTACGCATCCCCGATCAGAAGTCAGGGCTTACGCACCCCAATCAGTAGTCAGGGCTTACGCACCCCCGATCAGTAGTCAGGGCTTACTCACCTCCAGCCAGTAGTCAGAGCTTACGCACCCCCGATCAGTAGTCAGGGCTTACGCACCCCCGATCAGTGCACTGGGTTCGTGTTTTCTGCGTACTTTGGCAGGTGATAGCCGGACCCGTGCCTCTCCGCTGCCCGCTGCCTGTCCGACGGACTGACCGTGCTGCTGTGTCCGCCAGCTCTGAAGGCGGCACCCACTCGCCTGGATCTGCACCTGAAGCGGGTAGACCTGATGAAATCGATTAACAGGAATTCCAGGATCAACGTCACTTTCCTGAAACGTGCCGTTACCAGTGAGTGGAAACACAGATCGTGCGAGTTTTTCTCTAGTATTGGATCGACCTTGAAAGTGATGGAAAACCACACATCGTTGCTTGCTGAGCGTTCATTTGTGCCGTTGCATATCGCAAAGGCGAGATGAAAACCGGAACTTGAACCGGTACCTAATGTTTGTGATGTTACACAATCCAACATCTCTGTGTTATTAGCTACAAAGTTCATGATACTGGCATATTACCATCATTCTTCTGAGGTAATGCTACTGGTTCGTTCGAAGTGGAAGACTGACATCAGTGTCATAGTGCCCCCGTGGAGTGAGTGTGACGAACTCACGCCCTGCGTAGTCACCCAGAGACCGTCCCGTCAAGTAACATTCTGAATTCCCATTGTCTTGGAAAATGAGGGGGAAAAGATGAAAAGGATAGAAACAGGAGAAAATGCCGCTTTCGAACCACGTTTTTGTAGTCCTAATAAATCCAAACAACTGAGCTGTCGTCACTTTCGTGTCTTTTCTGCGATGGTGACGTCGGGAGCTCAAACGCTGCCATGACCTGAGCGCCACATCAGCTGCAGTTTCGCATGACTCCCATGTGAGGAGTCATGCGAAGACCCTGGTTTTGCCAAAGCAAAGAGAAAACTCGTTTAACTCGTACTTACTCAAAAATGGTTTCCATTAGGATTGACCCCTGCAGATAGACTCGGAACGCAGAACATAATCTTGCGTATGACATCCATATCCAGCTGTTGGGAGGGCCGGAGCTGCCCTTAGTTGCCTTGTCCGCGCTGTCGGCCGTTACCGCGCGACATCAGCGTGGTCTCCCGCCGGGTGTGCGTTATATGTGCAACGATTCGTACCAGTCATGTCCGAAACGGTGCTCGTTTTCCTCCGTTTATGTGCAGCGTGATATGCTCTGCGCATGTAGATTGCGCTAGGTAGGTTCCTCGCCGCCAGCCCAGTGTGACAGGTCTCACGTTTCCATCCAATAATATGAGACTTGTTCGGCGTGGCGTAGCGTACCCGGTGTTTCGCCCTAAGTTGTGTGTGACGTACCCGGTGTTTCCCTGTCAGTAATGTGTGACGTACCCGGTGTTTCCCCGCCAGTAATGTGTCACGTACCCTGTGTTTCACCGCCAGTAATGTGTGACGTACCCGGCGTTTCCCCGCCAGCAATGTGTGACACACCCGGTGTTTCGCCGCCAGTAATGTGTGACGTACCCGGTATTTTACCGCCAGTAATGTGTGACGTACCCGGTGTTTCGCCGCCAGTAATGTGTGACGTTCCCGGTGTTTCACCGCCAGTAATGTGTGACACACCCGGTGTTTCGCCGCCAGTAATGTGTGACGTACCCGGTATTTTACCGCCAGTAATGTGTGACGTACCTGGTGTTTCATCATCAGTAATATGTAACGTACCCGGTGTTTCCCTGTCAGTAATGTGTGAAGTACCCGGTGTTTCCCCGCCAGTAATGTGTAACGTACCCTGTGTTTACCGCCAGTAATGTGTGACGTACCCGGCGTTTCACCGCCAGTAATGTGTGACGTACCCGGTGCTTCACCGCCAGTAATGTGTGACGTACCCGGCGTTTCCCCGCCAGCAATGTGTAACGTACCCTGTGTTTACCGCCAGTAATGTGTGACGTACCCGGTGTTTCCCCGCCAGTAATGTGTGACGTACCCGGCGTTTCCCCGCCAGCAATGTGTAACGTACCCTGTGTTTTACCGCCAGTAATGTGTGACGTACCCTGTGTTTCACCGCCAGTAATGTGTGACGTACCCGGCGTTTCCCCGCCAGCAATGTGTAACGTACCCTGTGTTTACCGCCAGTAATGTGTGACGTACCCGGCGTTTCCCCGCCAGCAATGTGTAACGTACTCTGTGTTTTACCGCCAGTAATGTGTGACGTACCCGGTGTTTCGCCGCCAGTAATGTGTGACGTTCCCGGTGTTTCACCGCCAGTAATGTGTGACACACCCGGTGTTTCGCCGCCAGTAATGTGTGACGTACCCGGTATTTTACCGCCAGTAATGTGTGACGTACCTGGTGTTTCATCATCAGTAATATGTAACGTACCCGGTGTTTCCCTGTCAGTAATGTGTGACGTACCCGGTATTCCCCGCCAGTAATGTGTAACGTACCTTGTGTTTACCGCCAGTAATGTGTGACGTACCCCGTGTTTCACCGCCAGTAATGTGTGACGTACCCGGTGTTTCTCCGCCAGTAATGTGTGATGTTCCCGGTGTTTCACCGCCAGTAATGTGTGACGTACCCGGTGTTTCTCCGCCAGTAATGTGTGACGTGTCTGCTGGTGATGCGTTCCGGGCGATGAAGGAGCTCCACCATCTCCTCATGCACCTGGACATGATGGAGGACGCCAAAGAGTACTGGACTAAGGTGTTTGACAAGCACGGGGATAAGTCCAGCTGGGAAGGTACAGTGCGCTATCTGCGGTACTGTGCACTATCTGCGTCGGCTGCATATGCACATGTCAAGTCATGCTATGTTAGTGATGCACTAGCTATGCACCAGTTATATCGGAGCAACCGTTGCACCAGAAAGGTTATGTGAGCAGGACTGGACGTAGTGGATCCTCTTGTGGAAAATGCAGCTTGTTGGCTGCTGACGTACATCTGGTGCGTTATAACATATGACAATGAGGTGTTTCTACGTACAGTTTCTCCCACAAAACGCTTCCTTAATTACTTTCTGTGGAGATGTTAATGTATAAGATTGTGTCCACGTTACATTTTTGTTGTGTTTTTGTATTGAAAACCTTGTCAGTATACAATCACGTTAGATTTTCTATCGCCTTGATGAGAGTCTTAAGAGTCATAGGGCACGTACTGCGCATACTATTGCCATGGCCGGTGCTACTGCTCTGGGCGGCATAAACCGGTCAGCCCCTCTTCACAAACTCCCGTAACTCGTACGGCATGTCTGCTGACCGACCCTCGCGTCCCCGCCGCGACACATCACCCCCTCACCGAGGCCCGTAGTCCCACCGCGACGCATCACCCCCTCACCAACCCTCGCGTCCCCGCCCCGACACATCACCCCCTCACCGACCCTCGCGTCCCCGCCCCGACACATCACCCCCTCACCGGGGCCCGTAGTCCCGCCCCAACACATCACCCCCTCACCGGGGCCCGTAGTCCCGCCGCGACACATCACCCCCTCACCGACCCTCGCGTGCCCCGACACATCACCCCCTCACCGAGGCCCGTGGTCCCGCCGCGACACATCACCCCCTCACCGACCCTCGCGTCCCCGCCGCGACACATCACCCCCTCACCGAGGCCCGTAGTCCCACCGCGACGCATCACCCCCCTCACCAACCCTCGCGTCCCCGCCCCGACACATCACCCCCTCACCGACCCTCGCGTCCCCGCCGCGACACATCACCCCCTCACCGAGCCCCGTAGTCCCGCCGCGACACATCACCCCCTCACCGGGGCCCGTAGTCCCGCCCCAACACATCACCCCCTCACCGGGGCCCGTAGTCCCGCCCCGACACATCACCCCCTCACCGAGGCCCGTAGTCCCGCCGCGACACATCACCCCCTCACCGAGGCCCGTAGTCCCGCCGCGACACATCACCCCCCTCACCGAGGCCCGTAGTCCCGCCCCGACACATCACCCCCTCAACCGAGGCCCGTAGTCCCGCCGCGACACATCACCCCCTCACCGAGGCCCGTAGTCCCGCCGCGACACATCACCCCCTCACCGAGGCCCGTAGTCCCGCCGCGACACATCACCCCCTCACCGAGGCCCGTGGTCCCGCCGCGACACATCACCCCGTCACCGACCCTCGCGTCCCCGCCCCGACACATCACCCCCTCACCGAGGCCCGTAGTCCCCGCCGCGACACATCACCCCCTCACCGAGGCCTGTAGTCCCACCGCGACACATCACCCCCTCACCGACCCTCGCGTCCCCGCCCCGACACATCACCCCCTCACCGAGGCCTGTAGTCCCGCCGCGACACATCACCCCCTCACCGAGGCCTGTAGTCCCACCGCGACACATCACCCCCTCACCGAGCCCCGTAGTCCCGCCGCGACACATCACCCCCTCACCGGGGCCCGTAGTCCCGCCCCAACACATCACCCCCTCACCGGGGCCCGTAGTCCCGCCGCGACACATCACCCCCTCACCGACCCTCGCGTCCCCGCCCCGACACATCACCCCCTCACCGAGGCCCGTGGTCCCGCCGCGACACATCACCCCCTCACCGACCCTCGCGTCCCCGCCGCGACACATCACCTCCTCACCGAGGCCCGTAGTCCCACCGCGACGCATCACCCCCTCACCCACCCTCGCGTCCCCGCCCCGACACATCACCCCCCTCACCGACCCTCGCGTCCCCGCCCCGACACATCACCCCCTCACCGGGGCCCGTAGTCCCACCGCGACACATCACCCCCTCACCGAGGCCTGTAGTCCCACCGCGACACATCACCCCCTCACCGACCCTCGCGTCCCCGCCGCGACACATCACCCCCTCACCGAGCCCCGTAGTCCCGCCGCGACACATCACCCCCTCACCGGGGCCCGTAGTCCCGCCCCGACACATCACCCCCTCACCGGGGCCCGTAGTCCCGCCGCGACACATCACCCCCTCACCGAGGCCCGTAGTCCCGCCGCGACACATCACCCCCCTCACCGAGGCCCGTAGTCCCGCCGCGACACATCACCCCCCTCACCGAGGCCCGTAGTCCCCGCCGCGACACATCACCCCCTCACCGAGGCCCGTAGTCCCGCCGCGACACATCACCCCCTCACCGAGGCCCGGAGTCCCGCCGCGACACATCACCCCCTCACCGACCCTCGCGTCCCCGCCCCGACACATCACCCCCTCACCGAGGCCCGTGGTCCCGCCGCGACACATCACCCACCCCCTCACCGAGGCCCGTAGTCCCGCCGCGACACATCACCCCCTCACCGACCCTCGCGCCCCCGCCCCGACACATCACCCCCTCACCGAGGCCCGTGGTCCCGCCGCGACACATCACCCCCTCACCGAGGCCCGTAGTCCCGCCGCGCCCACCGGGCCGTGACGGGCGCCGCCGCCGCCGCCGCCAGACACGCACCTGTACCTGGAGCTGCTGCTGACCACGGGCGCGCCGGCCGAGTGCATCGCGGCACTGGTGCGCCTGTGCGGTGTGCGCACCGAGCCGCCGCTGGACGCCGCCCCGGACCTGGCCTCCGCCCTGGCCCAGCTGACCGACGTCACCGTGCCCGACGGCGTGCCGCTCGACATCAAGTACAAGCTGCTGGTGGCGCTGGTCAACCTGCAGCACGTCAAGCTGGCGTCCAAGGTAAGCCGACGCCATTCCGCCAAACCGCTCCTTGTCAGCTCAGACCGATTTAGCTCAATTTCGTTATATTGAAACGATTGTTTTGAAAACAGGGGTGTGTTGACAAACACAATGCAAAGTAAAGAGCACTAAAGTCACCATCCGGCGGGAGAGGCACTAAGCATATGTCCATTGTCATATCACCGAGCATTCACCTTCCGCGTTTGAAGTCAGAGAAGCTCCCCCAGCTTCGTCATGAGCATGCAGGGTGGGGTCATGTTGCGTCTTGCCCGTGACGAAATATCTGCCGCGTTGTAGAACCTGATCCCGAGCTTGAAGTCTTGCGACCCGGAGACCTACGGAGACATTTACCTGGACGTGGCCGAAGCTCTGATGCAGCTGAAGCACTACGACGAAGCGCTATCGCTTCTCACCATCCTCACTAAGTCGGAGAACTACTGTCTGGTATGCCCTGCAGGGAGCGAATGTATGCTCTTGATCATACGTTTTTGAGCCCTGACAGGCATTGCGCTGCTGCCGGCCTACTGTTTTCAAGGCTTAAATGAAACGAAACGAAGCTATACATATATATATATATATATATATATATATATATATATATATATATATATATATATATATATATATATATATATATACAAGAGAGAGAGAGAGAGAGAGAGAGAGGAGAGAGAGAGAGAGAGAGAGAGAGAGAGAGAGAGAGAGAGAGAGAGAGAGAGAGAGGAGAGAGAGGAGAGAGAGAGAGAGAGAGAGAGAGAGAGAGAGAGAGAGAGAGAGAGAGGAGAGAGAGAGAGAGAGAAGAGGAGAGAAGAGATAGAGATAGAGAGAGAGAGAGAGCAGGAGAGAGAGAGAGAGCTCGGCTGATCGCTCGCGCAGCGAGCGCGCGCGGAGAGAGCGCGGCCGCTAGACGCGCGCGCTCCGCGCTTCGCTCTCGAGAGCGCTCTCGTCGAGCTCTCGAGGCGCGGTCTCTCGCGCCGTCGAGCGCGCTCTATCTCTTCTCGCGCGCGCTAGCGTACGGAGCTCTCTCTCGAGGTCGCTCTCTCTCTCTCTCGCGCGCTCGCAGCTCTACCCGAGCTCGCGCTCCCTATCTCTGTCTTCATCCTCCTCCTAAGCCACTTCCTGCCTCTCTTCCTCCTCCCTCTCTGCCTCTTTATCTCTTCTTCTCTCTTCTATATCTCTATATATATATATATATATCGTGTGTGTGTGTGTGCGTGCGTCTGCGTGCGTGCGTGCGTGCGTGCGTGCGTGCGTGCGTGCGTGATCATTTTACGCTAACCTCTCCCATTACGATAAGCCATCTATTAAAGTGTCGCGTTGCTGCTAGCAGGCGGGGGTGTGGACGGGTGCGGGGCTGAAGGAGGCGGGCCGGCGAGAGTGGTCGGTGCTCACGCTTGCCCTTGCTGGCTGCAGGCGGGCGTGTGGCTGCGCGTGGGTGAGTGTCTGAACGAGTCGGGTCGGCTGGAAGAGGCGGTCGAGGCGTACCAGCAGGTGATGCAGCGCGCGCCAAACCACAGCGAGGGCCGCCTGGTACTGTCCGCCATCCTGCACCAGCTGGGCCGGCCGGAGGAGGCCATCAGCGCTCTGTCGCAGGGTGAGCGCGTGACTGGCACCACCGCCGCCGCCGCCTGTCGGAGGCTGCGTCGTCCGCTAGACGGCCTCCTCACGCTGAGGTGAACCGTGAGGCGACGTGCTTGTGGTCGTGCACTGAGCTGAGGTGAACCGTGAGGCGACGTGCCTGTGGTCGTGCACTGACCTGCTGTGTGCCGTGTGCCTGAGCCGTGTCTTTGGCGGAGCAGGAGGTGTCTTGACTTGACCTCCTGCTGCGTGCTGTGCCTGAGCCTTGTCTTTGGCGGAGAAGGAGGTGTCTTGACTTGCCCTCCTGCTGTGTACCGTGTGCCTGAGCCGTGTCTTCGGTGGAGCAGGCGGTGTCTTGACTTGACCTCCTGCTGTGTGCCGTGTGTTTGAGCTGTGTCCTCCGCAGAGGTGGAGCAGGAGGTGCTGGACTCGAACCTGTTGCTGGAGAAGTCTGCCCTGCTGGAACAGGAGGGCCGTATCGAGGAGTTCATCGACACCGTGCGGACGCTGCTCTCTCAGCACTGTCCTATCATCCGGGACCGGGACGAGGCCAAGTGTGAGTGGCCCGTCGAGCCCTGGCGCCGCCTGCTGCCCCGGCGCAGCCTGCCATCGACTGCTTACTACAGTGCAGATGTTTTCCACGCACACACTACGGTCTGAGCAAGTCAAATCAGCCCAACTTTTGCGGCATGTCTTGCAAGTCGTTCGCTCTTTACGCTGTGATGTTCTGCTATTTCGGGAGTTAAAATGAAGGGTTTGCAGAAGGGGCTGCCAAATGGTACGGTTAGAACTTACGGGTATTGCGGCACCTTACCCATCGTGCCTTAGGGTCGCGGTGCAACAACGTTCTGTTGTATGAACGTTGACGGCGTACTCCACATTGGAGACGGACAGCATGTCTAGGGTTCTGCATTTGGTATACTGAGATTGTGCAATTTGAAATTGTAGTTTTTCCTCTTTCTAAAAATCGTGAAATGGAACATTTATGATAGTCCCTAGCTGTTAACAGTTTTGAATTTGGCGGTGATATGCTCAGCATTTGAACAGTCTTGTAACACTATCTGAATGTAAGCGTAATGAGTACCTAGCTATAAGAAGGTATATTATGTGTTTAAAAAAATAAATATTTTAGGCATGGTCAGCCCAGGACCGAGATATACCATGTTTTATGACTATCGCCTGAAAAATCAAGTTAGTACTGGCAATTTTTCCGTTTGGAAAATAATAAGGGATTTCACTAAACATCACACAAAAATGTGTGATGTTTAGTGAATGTGACTTTATGTGAAATCTTTATGTGAAATTATATATACAATACCTCACACTTTATGTGAAATCACAGCGCAGTGAAACGCCGTTCTGTTTCTCAGCTGTGCTGACAGCATTAGTCGTGAATTGCTCACCCCTTGGCTACGCTTGGGTTTTGGTTTGCTTAGCAGGTTTCACATCTCTTTGCTGGATGTGCCGCGGCCTTCAACATATCAGCTACCAATGCTGTTATTAACGTAATGCCCGCGTGCCGCGGCGGGCAGGAGCGGGCACTCCTGGTCACGTGTTAATGGGTGATGGGTCGTCATAACAGTGACGAAAACAACGTAAGTTGAGTCGAGGTGTAGCATCTTCGGCTTTGTGTTTGCACGTTGCTGTGGTGTTCCCGTCAAACGTTCATTCCTTATCAGTGGCGTACTGTCGCCCTCAGCCATGCTGGTGGGGTTCAAGGTGCGCGAGAACACGCTCAAACAACTGCGCAAGATGAGGCCGGACACTTACGAGGGCACGGTGAGCTCGCTACGGCGTATCGCCAGGCCGATACCTGTTGTGGAATTGGAAGTAGTGCACGAGGTTGGAGTGTGACCGTACTTCGGCGGCTGATCTTCTTTCTGTTGTGCTTTGACGTCGGTCCAGGATATTATTTGTTACCAGGTAGATGCTAGGGCATTTGTCTACCCTATCTTATTATCTGCAGATTTTCAGGCTTAGGTAATCTGAGCATTTCTCTACGAATATCGTGCTTTATGAACATTGTCTGACTCGATAAAACGTTAGCTAGCAATTGCGGATAGCTGATTTATTGGAAAGCAGTCGGTAAAAAGCAAAGAAGATGAAGACAGCCAGGGCAACGTGTAAACCTTAAAGTTTATGCTCGCCTGTTGGTATGCTTTCCCCTTGGAAGGGCTTAAGGACGTCCGGGCGGCTGCAGTCTTGTGCGCCCATACGTCACGCCCTTACCCTTATATATACCTATATATATATATATATATATATATATATATATATATATATATATATATATATATACACCCTTATATATACCCTTACATATACCTATACGCCCATACCCTTAGACGTCGAAGTCTTTCCAAAAGACCGATTGGGTAGATCTACTTTGTGACATGGCCTTTTTTGTCGGTTTATTGCAGGCATTACATGCATCCGACAGGGTGCCCGCGCCGCGTGTCGGCCAGGCGTGCGCCGGACGCCCCGGCCTTTTACAAGCCTCTGTGACCCTGTATGACCCTGCCGTATGTCGGCCAGGGCCCGGCGTTCGTGGACCGGCCTACCGAGCTGGACCGACACTGGCAGCTGCTCGGCAAGGCGCTGGTCTACCTGGAGGAGCGGCACCGCTTCGCCGACTGCGTCGACCTCATCATGCGCGCTAAGGGGAGCCGCGAGTTTGGCCAGCGCGCTGACATCAGCAAGGTGCGGCTCAGCAGCTCGTCAGCATGGGACGCTTGTCTTCCGGGTCACCCACCCGGGACCTCCAGTCGCCTCATGCGCTTGCTGTTTGCGCCAGACTGAGAGCGGCCTGCGGCATGTGTCAGCGGGCAGCGCTAAAGGTCAGGTGACGTCAGAGGGCAGGACGCACCGTGCAGAACGTCACGACACGTTTAAATTTCGCCGCAAAGCTCAGCCATCGACCTGGATTTTACGGTCGGGTGGTGGGCTCCGGACTCGCGCAACAAACACCGCCTGGCGTGGGCTCCGATGCCACAAATCCGTCATATCAAAAACGTTTTGGACTAAACAAACATAAAGGACAGAGTTGTCGGTTTGCCGGTGGCCTCCACCTCCGCACCCCTCGCCGTATGGGCGAAACATGTTACGGCTCACGACCGTGTATGGCGTCGAAAGACAGTGAGCTGTGAGCCAGCAGGGTTATCCGAGTATGTTGCTGACGTTGGTAGCAGACGTCCAATGCTATAGATAGCTACGGTGCTGCGTGGCGCTTTCCCCAAGTGATTGATGAGATTGCCTGTGTTTATGTTGACGATATTCTTGCGAAATGGCAGCCGTCTGCTGGGCTGTGCGGATGGATCGCGAGGTCCTGTGGAATTCATGCATGGAGGTTTCAAGAGCGCCGCACCTTTCCCCCGTTTTGTGGAGTTAGATGGAAAGGGACAGCAAAACAGGAGGTCTCGCTGGCCCTCACCAGCCGCGCACAAACGTAGTTTTGGGACGCTGACTCTGTGATCATCCTTAAGAACATGAGCCAGCGTCGGTCAATCGGTCTGAAACACTGCCGTGGACGTGTTCCTGGTGAGGCCGTCGGCCGTGGGGCGTCAGCCCTGACCTGTGCCCGTGCCCGCCGCCCAGGACCTGGACACCATGTGCGCCATCGCCTGCTTCCGCGCCGCCGACTACGAGATCGGCTTCCCGGTGGTGCGGAAGATGCTGCTGGCCGAGCCGGAGGTGCAGTCGCTTTGGAACTTGCTTAACCTGGTGACGATGCGCGCCGAGGACATCCGACACGCCCGGTTCCTGATGCGCCTGACGCACCGGCTGCCTGAGCTGGTGGCGCTCAGTCTGCTCAACGGCCATAACTGCCTCATGTCGGGCACGTACAAGTACGCGCTGGTCGAGTATGTGTCGGCCTACAAGCTGGAGCCAAGAGACCCGCTGATCGCGCTGCTCGTCGGCGTCACTTTCATCCATCTGGCGGCGCAGAAGTTCACCATCCGCAAGCACAGCCTGGTGGTGCAGGCGCAGGCGTTCCTCGGCCAGTACGTCACCCTGCGTGGCGAGACGCAGGAGAGCTTCTACAACATGGGCCGTGGCATGCACGAGCTGGGCCTGCTGCCCAACGCCGTGCACTACTACCAGCGGGCGCTGAAGCTGGAGCCGCAGGGCGGCGACGCCTCGCTCGACTTGCGGCGGGAGATTGCCTTCAACCTGGCGCTCATCTACCGGGCCAGCGGCAACACGACGCTGGCGCGCCAGCTGACACACCGCTACTGCGTCATCTGAGCTGCAGCGCGGCTGTCGGCGCCCGCGGCCAGCGTTGGTGATCCCGAGGTGGGACTGTGGGATCGTGGGATACGGGACTGTCGTCGGTCGACGCAGACTGCGGGACCAGGCCCGCTCTGCCAAACCCATCACTTATTCGTGTGTGTTAGTGTTTCTATCAAACATCCCCATGTTCATCGTAATGTATTGTCATGCATACAATATGGCTGTAAGCTGGCATGTTTGTATTCTCGTGGTCTAGACGGCCATTGAAATCATCCACCGCACACAGGTTCCGTGGCCCCGAATCTTGTGTGCGTTAGCCCACCCCCAGAACTCCAGGCGAGCGGCCGCTTCAGCCACCCGCTGCCCAGTCTGCAACTGAAATGCGCGCCTCGAGGCCACGTGGCATGTGGCTTTAAGTCTGATGCTGCGCTGCGTGTGATGAGGCGCGCCCGTCGTGTCGCTGGGCGCGCCTCTGCGCGGTGGGTTCACCTTGAACGACCTTGACCACGCGACCTTACGAGACGGCACGGAAAACCAGACGGAACGTCAGTCGACTGTAGGCAGTGAGTCAGGGCGATTATAATGCTAAGACTTTGGCGACGCTGGTGATAGAAAACAAGGTCTCACGACAGCATAGTGCGAGGTTTTCAATTCCTTCCTGTGCTTTTCCGGCACCGCGTAAATCAGGAAGCCGCGATGATGTCAAATAGGAGTGCCTTGTGTTCCGCAACCGTCTATAGTGATTCCTTGCACAGAGCTGCTGTTCTGCGTTCAACTGACCTTCACCCTGGCGACTCACGCCTGTCTGACCCAACTTGTCGCCGGCTTGTGTGCCGGAGTTGAGGAGCACAGGCGCTCCCAGCGGCAGGCATGTAGGGGCGCAGCTAGTGAGGCGTTGTTAGAAGACAAGCTACTCGCATCAAGCTGCATAAAAGTTGTTGAGGAATATCGCACTCGGTAAGGGCTGACGCCAGCACGCTGCCACGCATCTCTGCAAGCAGGGCTGGTGCAAGCTCAACCCCTTTGACATCAGTTTGAAGTTGTGCCATACGACCGCGCCAGCTCATCACGTGCTTTAACCGGCGCCACGAGCCTGCTGACAATAAGCTCCAAGCCGCGGTTTTCCGATGCACAAACGGAGCAAATATGAATTAACTCGAAATGTGTGGCTGGGCATTTAGCGAGCGATTCATGTGAGCCCGCGACGACTGCCCTGCCTGCGGGCTGTCCTTCCCGTACGCCCAAATAACGCTACGGTCTTGGCGCGGTGTGCTGGTTTCGTGGGCTCTACTGTCTTAAACGTAAAACGTGCTGCGTTTCAAACCACCACTCGAGTCGACCGTCCAAGTGTGTGGGTGTCAGCAGCTGGGCTGAGTACCCGCCGCGCGGTTCACAGCTGGGCTGAGTACCCGCCGCGCGGTCCACAGCTGGGCTGAGTACCCGCCGCGCGGTTCACAGCTGGACTGAGTACCCGCCGCGCGGTTCACAGCTGGACTGAGTACCCGCCGCGCGGTTCACAGCTGGACTGAGTACCCGTTGCGCGGTTCACAGCTGCGCCAATTAGCAGACCGCGGTCGTCATAGGTCTTGCGGTGACCTCCCCCCCCCCCAGCCCACCGCACCCTGGCGCGTTCACAGCTGACCCAGTTAGCAGATCGCGGTCGCCATAGGTCCTGCGGTGACCTCCCCGCCCAGCCCACCGCACCCCGGAGCGTTCACAGCTGACCCAGGAGTTGCGCCCCAGCTACACACGGCCGAGGACACTGAGCGTATATTTCGCCACCCTCGGCGTGTCGCACGTGGTAGCGTCACTCCCTGACTCACATACTAGACCGCCCGACAACGGGTTCCGCCATATAATACGCATAAATACTCGAGTACACCAACACGCTCGGGTGGGACGCGCCAGCCCAGTCCGGCCAGTGGACATCGGACGCTGGCGCGGCACGCAGCCGTCCATCAGATCGGCTCCGTTGCGCTGCCTCGTGCGCTTCGGTCAGACGTCGGCCGGTTGCGCTCCGTGCGGTAGGGCCGCGGCCGGGCGGCGCCGGACGGCGGGCACCAGGCCGGGAGCGCGCCGGCGCATGGGCAAAACCCGCCGCCGGCCGACACCGCTCGAAGCTGACCAGGCGCCGGCGCTCACAAGCATGCGGCGGCTAGCTAAACACAGACTAAAGGTAATCACCGGCCGCGACGCCGCCCCTCACGCCACACACGCGCCGAGTGCAGCGACGGTCACCGTTACGATCCAGCTAAAACTATAAAACAAACATGGTACGAGGTGTATGGAAAGTAGCTTAGGGCGGCCGGCGTCGGCGGGATCCCCCACGTCACGGAGGGGACAGGGCTAGGCGGCCGGCCGGGCGGCAGCTGGGCCCCGCTCAGTGGAACAGCACCGGGTCCGGGTCCTCAGACTCTAGGTGCTTGAGATGCCGCAGCACGTCCTTCTTCGTGATAATGCCCAGCAGACGTCTGAAACGACCCACACAGAGTAGGTGAACCCGCGGGCGGAGCCAACGACCCACCCACCGCCGGTGAACCCGCGCGCGGAGCCAACGACACGGCGTATCTCATGAGCGCCGGCAATACAGATGTAATGAACACGTCAGGCTATGTGCATTTTACTGTTCATCTCGCTAGCTTCAGAGACAGATCGTACCGCTTGAATTGCAGCGATCGGTTTGAGCCCCTAACTGACGCGGTTCGACAAATCAAGTTTAATTATTGCCTTCATGCATATCTTGGTAACTTCAACTTGCGTGAACATGTGAACATTGAACGCGGGAACAAGTGTCTGCGTTTGAAGCACAACTCTGGAAGCAAAATTCCACAACTCATTGTCCGCAAAGCTATTTAAAATTCAAGTCAATCGGCCCAGAACGTGATAGCGATTATACGCTACATGCTATTATAGACGCGCATCATCCGACTTCCACGCCATTACTGTACACTCCGTTAAGACAAAGACGCGTTCCCGAAATGCTGCCGGTCTAGCCGCCGGGCGTGGGCGGAGAGCCGGCGACCGAGCTCGCGGCCACACCCATCTTGTCGACGCCGACTGACCCGTTGTGCGTGACCAGCGTCTGGCGCAGGCCCAGCTTGCGGAACATGTCGATGACGGTCTCCAGCGGCGTCTGGTCGGTGATGGTGATGGGCGCCAGGTCGAGGATGCGGCGCAGCTTGAGCGGCGGCGGGCCCGGCCATGGCCCGGCCGGCACGCTGCTGAACAGGCACACCGACTGGCCGCTGATGCCGTCGCGGCGTGCACCCGCTGCCGGCACCGGACGGGCCCGGTCAGCACCGGCCGGCTCCAGCCCCGCCAGTCATCACACAGTATCAACGGACGGGCCAGGTCAGCACCGGCCGGCTCCAGCCCCGCCAGTCATCACACCGTATCACCGGACGGGCCCGGTCAGCACCGGCCGGCTCCAGCCCCGCCAGCCGCGGCACACAGCACCGGAGACAGCGCCCCGGAGGCGGCGCCGCAGTCGTCAGCTGGTCACCGTCATCACACAGTATCACCAGGCCACTTCCGCTCTGTGTGGTATGCCGCCCAGCAACATGACCCTTCAAAAACGTATGTCGTTTTCAAGGGATGATAGGCCGGCTGTGCGATAAGCACCACTAAAAACAAGCACGAACTTAGACAGCATGTGGCCCGTTCGGGCGGCCCTGAGAAGTGCTGTGGCTGAACTACGGACCGTGACCCACCGAGCGATGGTGTAGCCAGACTGCAGACCGTGACCCACCGAGCGATGGTGTAGCCAGACTGCAGACCGTGACCCACCGAGCGATGGTGTAGCCGGACTACAGGCCGTGACCCACCGAGCGATGGTGTAGCCGGACTACGGACCGTGACCCACCGAGCGATGGTGTGGCCGGACTGCAGACCGTGACCCACCGAGCGATGGTGTAGCCGGACTACAGGCCGTGACCCACAGAGCGATGGTGTAGCCGGACTACAGGCCGTGACCCACCGAGCGATGGTGTAGCCGGACTACAGGCCGTGACCCACCGAGCGATGGTGTGGCCGGACTATAGACCGTGACCCACCGAGCGATGCTGTAGCCGGACTACAGACCGTGACCCACCGAGCGATGGTGTGGCCAGACTGCAGACCGTGACCCACCGAGCGATGGTGTGGCCGGACTACAGACCGTGACCCACCGAGCGATGGTGTGGCCGGACTACAGACCGTGACCCACCGAGCGATGCTGTAGCCGGACTACAGACCGTGACCCACCGAGCGATGGTGTGGCCGGACTACAGGCCGTGACCCACCGAGCGATGGTGTGGCCGGACTACAGACCGTGACCTACCGAGCGATGGGGTGGCCAGACTCCAGGTCGTGACTCACCGAGCGATGGTGTGACCGGACTACAGACCGTGACTCACCGAGCGCCAGGTTGAGGTCGCGCCGGAGCACGAAGCCGACCAGGTACTGCGACTCCTTCGAGACCACGACCGGGAACCCGTTGTGCCCCGTCTCCTTGAGCATCTGCTCCACCTCGGCCACAGTCATGGAGTCCTGAAGCATCAGCGCACGGCGGCGATTAGGGTAGCTCCCACGTCACCTGTGTAGTGTCACCCTCAGCGAAAGGCGACAGCTCGAGTTGTTCGCTAGAAAAGCTAGAGTCCATACAGTAAAATACCGCAGACGGGCGAAGCCTCGCCACGGCGCCAGCTGCAACCGTCCATATATTTCTCAGTGAAATGGTTCTACGCGCAAAACTGCACGAGGTGTCAGCCGAAGAACAACTGTAACGACCGGTGACACTGTAAAGAACGACCCGTCCAAAGCCGACGGCAGGTGGTCGGGAGTAGTTTGGCAGGAGACGGTGCGGCACAGCACCCCAGCCAGCACCTGCACGGGGCGGGGCTGCTGACAAGCATCACGAGACTCTCTGCAACCGATCACACGGACGTCTCGATGACCGCTCCTGGGTGCAGCGACGAAACAAGCCTATAACCGAGATTCGCATATGGTGGCAGTCCAGCTATACTTCAGTCGAGGACGATGCTGTCCTATCAGTATGCAGGTTATTAAGGAATGCCATGCCTTGGAACGGTGCTGAGAACGTTGTGCCCGTGATTTGCGAGTTTATTTTCGTATGTTTTTATGCGCAAAACTGTATCACGCATCAAACGAAGAAATCCTTCACAAGACGCGCACTCGCATTATCGACAACACTGTCACACCTTTGCTTGGCTGCTGGCATCATGTCAATGTTCACGGCATTCGCTGTTTGTTTGTTCTTGCCTTCAATCGTGTCCAATAGTTGGCCATTACCGCAACTATGCATCACCGTGTTCAGCGTTTTCCTTAAACTATGACTGCTAGACAGGGGCTGGACAGCATAATCGCCGGTGCAGTAACTGGGTGATGGCGCTGACCAGCGGCTACACCGGCTCCACTGAGGCCCGCTGAGGCCCCGCTGAGGCAGGTCCCGTACCCGGGTGACCGCTCCGCTGAGGCTCCGCTGAGGCCCCGCTGAGGCCGGTCCCGTACCTGGGTGACCGCTCCCTTGAGGCCGGTCCCGTACCTGGGTGATGACGCTGCTGAGGCCGGTTCCGTACCTGGGTGATGACGCTGAATGGGGCGCTGTTGCGCGGCTCCATCACGTCGGCCGCCAGCGAGGTGTGGTCAAACTCCTCCTTGCTGTCCAAGAACGGATAGCCGTTGAGGTAAATATGGGCATCGTAGATGCCCTCGCGACCTAGGGCGTCGCCTACCCACTTGGCGGCCATGACGGCGGCCATGACGGGGACGATGTAGCTCACGCCGCCCGTCAGCTCCACCTGCGGACGGCGCCGTCGGGCCGTCAGCCTGCCGTCGGCACCGGTGCGCCGGCCGCGCCACACAGCGCGTACTGAGCTGCGGACGGCGCCGTCGGACCGTCAGCCCGCCGTCGGCACCAGTGCGCCGGCCGCGCCACACAGCCGCCTACTGAGCTGCGGCCGGGGCGCGCAGACTAGCGCCCGACACACACAGTGCAGCTCCAGCAGACCAATGCGGCCGGCGACCAGCGGCGTCGCATCACTGGCTTGCCCTCTGCTAGTCTGCTGGCCTATTCCTGACACACCGGTAGGCGGTGGTGGGTGAGGCAGTCGCCGGCTCTGCCCCTCGCCAGCTCGGCCGTCCCCTGCCGCCGCCGCCACTCACCATGATGACCACCAGGGAGACGGTCATGCGCGTGACGCCGCCGAGCACGGCCGCCGCGCCCACGGTGGCGTACAGGCCAGACGTGATGCAGTTCTCGCCGGTGGTGCACTCGCTGCTGAACACCCACCTGTCGGCCGGGCCCAGGCCAGGCGTCAGGCGGGGTCGGCGGGCCGGCGGGAGGGCAGGAGCGGCCCCGCCGGCAGCCCTCCGGTGGCGCGGGGTCATGGACGCACGGTCCCCGGCGGGACGGGGCCAGCCGCGACGCCGAGTCACATCACAACGCAAACGAAACACAAACGGAGCAGTCCTTCGTGGATTCGAACAACGCTCAAAGCAATCCAACATTCGTAACTATCCCAGCAAAAAATGCCGCTACAAGCTGGCAACTTATTAATAATATGCACAATAACAAGACAATCATGTGGGATATCACAAGTCAACACGCCACAAGATATATGTGGACCTTACAGACCTGCACTGCCTCACTATTGGCGAATACAAACGGAACATCCGGTACAGTAGTGGGCTGGCCGACTGCCGGGGCCGACAAAGCGCAGCCCAGCTGACGGGCCGGCCGGCCGGCACCGTCGGGTATGGCCCACTGACCAGTGCGGGTACGAGACGGCCAGCTGCTCCATGCCGACGCCCACGATGCGGCCCATGGTGGCGCCCAGCGCCATGCTCGGGATGAACAGGCCGGCCGGGATCTTCATGCCGAACGTGAAGATGGTGACGAGGAACTTGAGCACGAACACCACCGCAAGCTGCCAGAGCGCCGAGTACACGCCGGCCGCAGCCTCGCGCGTCTCGATGGCGTGGTTCAGGTTGGTGAAGTTGTGCTTGTAGTCGCTGAGGACGGACATGCCGGCCGTCAACGGCGACGGCGAGGACTGCCGCCAGCCACGGCGGCGTGACTCTATGGCAAGCCTCTGAGACGTACGGCGCACTACCATGCAGCACGTGTATAGCGTACTGCGCGATAGCTGGCTAGGTCTTACCATCGCAACACTAGCTGGAATTGGTCTTGGGCGTCACTGAGCTCGGACAGATCCGTGTCACCAGGCCTCACCAGAGATCGACACTGTGATTGGACAGGCCGGGTCACTCGGCCTCATCACAGATCGACACAGATCGGATAGATCGTGTCACCAGGCCTCACCAGAGATCGACACTGTGATTGGACAGGTAGGGTCACTCGGCCTCATCACAGATCGACACAGATCGGATAGACCGTGTCACCAGGCCTCACCAGAGATCGATGCCTTCCGACGGGCCGCAGTCGTTGAAGAGCAGGTTGATGAGCTCGGAGCTGGGCATGCGTGAATAGGGGTTGGGAAAGGCGAGGATGGCGGTGGCGATCGTGACCACCACCACCTCCGTGGCCGGGTACTGGCCCAGCAGCGACGTCTTGCGGAAGCGACACCAGAAGATGTTGCAGCGGATGAAGGCGGCGCCGATCACACCCTGCAGCCAGGGCGGGGATCAGTGCCGGTCACAGGACAGCGGGGTCAGTGCCGGTCACAGGACAGCGGGGTCAGCTCCGGTCACAGCCACAGGACAGCGGGGATCGGTGTCGGTCACAGGACAGCGGGGTCAGCTCCGGTCACAGCCACAGGACAGCGGGGATCAGTGTCGGTCACAGGACAGCGGGGTCAGCTCCGGTCACAGGACAGCGGGGTCAGCTCCGGTCACAGCCACAGGACAGCGGGGTCAGTGTCGGTCACAGGACAGCGGGGATCGGTGTCGGTCACAGGACAGCGGGGATCAGTGTCGGTCACAGCCACAGGACAACGGGGATCAGTGTCGGTCACAAGACAGCGGGGTCAGTGTCGGTCACAGGACAGCGGGGTCAGCTCCGGTCACAGCCACAGGACAGCGGGGATCGGTGTCGGTCACAGGACAGCGGGGCCAGCTCCGGTCACAGCCACAGGACAGCGGGGATCGGTGTGGGTCACAGGACAGCGGGGATCAGTGTCGGTCACAGCCACAGGACAGCGGGGATCAGTGTCGGTCACAGGACAGCGGGGTCAGTGTCGGTCACAGGACAGCGGGGTCAGCTCCGGTCACAGCCACAGGACAGTGGGGTCAGTGTCGATGTGTCACAGGACAGCGGGGTCAGCTCCGGTCGCAGCCACAGGGCAGCGGGGTCAGTGTCGGTCACAGGACAGCGGGGTCAGTTCCGGTCACAGCCACAGGACAGCGGGGTCAGTGTCGGTCACAGGACAGCGGGGTCAGTGTCGGTCACAGCCACAGGACAGCGGGGTCAGTGTCGGTCACAGGACAGCGCGGTCAGCTCGGGTCACAGCCACAGGACAGCGGTGTCAGTGTCGGTCACAGGACAGCGGGGTTGGTGTCGGCCACAGGACAGCGGGGTCGGTGTCGGTCACAGGACAGCGCGGTCAGCTCGGGGTTGGCGTCGGTCGGGGCCGCGGGGTTGGTGTCGGCCACAGGACAGCGGTGTCGGTGTCGGTCTTAGGACAACGGGGTCGGTGTCAGTCTGGCGGCAGAGTGCATCTGGCGAGAGGTGTCCATCACCACGCAGGGGACAGTATCGGTCACAGAGCTGGGTCGGCGTGAGCGCAGGGATAGATGGGTGGGGGGGGGGGGGGGGGGGGGGGGGGCACGCGCTCACAGAGACGGCGAAGTCACACACCAGCAGGGACCACACGCTGTCCGCGTGAGGTCAGTGGTCCAGGATCGTGGCCAGTACCCACCACGCCCCGTCACCAGCGGAGCATACCAGTCTGCGGCCGCCTTCTGTGCCCGGGGCCGACGGGTCGGTGGCGGTCCACCGTGTCGGAGGGTCAGCCCCAGTCACGCCACGATGGCAAGGACTGGTGACGGGGCCTCAGTATCGGTCACATTCTGACGATGTCACTGCCCATGCCGCTTTGTCACTGTCACTGTCAATCATCTGCCCACCATCACTGTCAATCGTCGCTATGCACGGCAAGCGACTCGAGGCACACTTCACATGAATCGTGTGAAAATAGCCACTACCCAGGCGAGTTACTGTCGACAATCCATGCGATAAAAAACCGCCATCATATTGCTCGTTGAGGGCAGTCAAACACCCGCCGTGGCGCCTTATCTGCGGGTGGCTCACAATGTCACTGCGTTGTCTGGAAGCACGCAGGCCCGGAACTTTCCAGATACGGCTGGTGCAGTTGCAGCGGCGGGCCGCCACACAATAACACCGCCCCGGAACTCCCCAGATACGGCTGGTGCAGTTGCAGCGGCGGGCCGCCAATCAATGACCGCCCCGGAACTCCCCAGATATGGCTTGTGCAGTTGCAGCGGCGGGCCGCCAACCAATCACCGCACCAGAACTCCCCACATACGGCTTGTGCAGCTGCAGCGGCGGGCCGCCAACCAATCACCGCCCCAGAACTCCCCAGATACGGCTTGTGCAGCTGCAGCGGCGGGCCGCCACACAATAACACCGCCTTCGGCTGGCGGCCACGGCGCGCCTGTCGCCAACCATCGATTGGCGACGCTTCCGCCCACCGGCAAGCTGCCGGTCGACTGGCGGCGTCCCCCTCCCCCTCCCCCCCCCCACCACCACCGCGGTGACGTCACCCACACGGCAGCGATCGCCACGGTCCTGGACGCCGACCGCAGGCGGGCCCAGCGTGCGGCAGAGGGCGTCGGCCGCCCCACTCACCCCCAGTATGCCCAGGAATATGAACGGCAGCAGCTCGAAGAAGATCCACGGTCGCTCATGATGCACGTAGAACAGCACCGAGTGTTCGTTGCCGAACGGGTTGATTGAGTTCAGTATGAACGCTGAGATCAGGGCGCAGAAGAAGGATCGCCACAGCGTCTTCAGCGGGAAGTAGTAGCTGGCCTGTAACGCGGCACGAACGGCGTGAAGAATACCGACACGCCCATCGCCACATCTCGATCGGACAGTCGCCGATATTACTCAGGCGGTCGCGCACATTCTCCCCGTCTGGACCTGGGTGACGTTCTTCGCCCAGAGCGCCAGGGGCCGTCTCCAACGCCATACACCCAGGCTGACCAACACTAGCAGCCAGCCCCGAACAACACGAGTAGCAAGTCTTCACCATGTACACGTCCGTGGAGCTCGCCGATACCATCCAGGTCGGGGCCGATGTTGGTCACGCGGCGCGGTCGGCCTCACCTCCTCCAGACTGAAGAGCACGCCACCGATCGGCGCGGTCAGCCTCACCTCCTCCAGACTGAAGAGCACGCCGCCGATCGGCGCGGTCGGCTTCACCTCCTCCAGACTGAAGAGCACGCCGCCGATCGGCGCGGCCGGCCTCACCTCCTCCAGACTGAAGAGCACGCCACCGATCGGCGCGGTCGGCTTCACCTCCTCCAGACTGAAGAGCACGCCGCCGATCGGCGCGGTCGGCCTCACCTCCTCCAGACTGAAGAGCATGCCGCCGATCGGCACGGTCAGCCTCACCTCCTCCAGACTGAAGAGCACGCCACCGATCGGCGCGATCAGCCTCACCTCCTCCAGACTGAAGAGCACGCCGCCGATTGGCGCGCCGAAGGCCACCGAGACGCCGGCGGCCGCCGACGCTGACAGGATCTCGCGCTTCTTGGCCTCGTTGCGACCGTACTTGGGGAACATGTAGGCGATGATGTTGCCGATGCAGCAAGCGACGTGCACTAGCGGGCCCTCCTTGCCGAGGCTCAGGCCGGCCGAGACGGCCAGCATCATACACACCGACTTGATCAGCAGCGTCCACTTGCCCAGGTAGCCGCGGATGATGAAGCCGCTCAGAATTGTCTTGATCTGCGGACGCCGGACGAGGTCAGGCACCCGCCGGACGGCCAGCTCCGCTCTCAGCGGGGGGGGGGGGGGGGGAGGGGGACACGCTCCGGACCAGCCCACGCTCGGCTGACACTCAGCCCAAAAACACAGCGACCGGATCGCACAAGGGCGGCGGGCTGACGTGATGGCTCGGAGCTGACAGTGCACGGCCAGTCAGCACACATCAAGAGCGGCGGGCTGATGTGATGACCCGGAGCTGACGGTGCACGGCCAGTCAGCACACATCAAGGGCGGCGGGCTGACGTGATGACCCGGAGCTGACGGTGCACGGCCAGTCAGCACACATCAAGGGCGGCGGGATGACGTGGTGGCCCAGAGCTGACGGTGCACGGCCAGTCAGCACACATCAAGCGCATGAACACATGTCAACAAATGTAACGTCATGTATCATAAACGATGTTCTAGGCGCCAGGTTCCGTTGGCACGCTTTGAGGATAATGGAGAGAGAAGCGGACGAAGAGATAACATGAGAAGACAGGTGATGAAGAGGCAAGGAAACGAATCAGCGAGTGCAGGAGTAGACGCGACAGACAATGCTGAGCGAGCTCGCGGCGGCGGCGGCGGTGCCTCGGACCTCACCTCCGGTATGCCTGAACCGCAGGCGTACGGCGCGAAGGTGCGCACCAGCCGCACGGCCAGCAGGCCCAGCACCAGCGCCCACAGCACGTAGCAGAGGTAGGCCAGCACGTAGCCGCCGGCGCTGTCGTGCTGGGCGCCCAGCACCTCTGGCCACGAGTACCACTGTGGGCGGCATCGGCGACGTCATCATCACGGCCGCGTAGAATACGACAAACGTAACAAACGTGACACACAGCCTATATACAGGGTCATCAGACACAAACGACCTCGAAAGGAGAATACGACAGACGTGACACACAGCTTATACAGGGTCATCAGAGACACGGCCTCGAAAGGAGAATACGACAGACGTGACACACAGCTTATACAGCGTCATCAGACGTACTCAGCCTCGAAAGGAGAATACGACAGATGTGACACACAGCCTACACAGCGTCATCAGACGTACTCGGCCTCGAAAGGAGAATACAACAGACGTGGCACACAGCCTATACAGCGTCATCAGACGTACTCGGCCTCGAAAGGAGAATACAACAGACGTGACACACAGCCTATACAGCGCCATCAGACGTACACGGCCTCGAAAGGAGAATACAACAGACGTGACACACAGCCTACACAGCGTCATCAGACGTACTCGGCCTCGAAAGGAGAATACAACAGACGTGACACACAGCCTACACAGCGTCATCAGACGTACTCGGCCTCGAAAGGAAAATACGACAGACATGACACAGCCTATGCAGCGTCATCAGACATACTCGGCCTCGAAAGTATTCTCCTCCACCCAGCCGGCAACACAGTGTGCCAGTAACAGCTCCAGAGGCCCTGAAGCCCCTCCTGAGACCTAGGCGTCCATCCGACCCCATCGAATCAGCTGCTGATCAGGGGGAGGCAAGGGAGGGGGTGCCACGCTGAGCAGTACAGGACTTACCGCATGATAATGGACCACTAACAATAATAATAACAAGAGATTTCGGAGTTAATTTTGACTTGGTGCCACTGAGTTCGACGATCAAAATGAGCGGGCCGCAGCAGCGACGCCGAAACACACAGCTGGTCTCGAGGACCACGCCAGATTCGCGTCTTATGGGTACCCAACACCCTGACGAAGCTGAAGCGTGGCAGGCCCTCGCCCACCACAAGTCTGATCACATTACAGCCATGGCCTGGGCCATAGGCTATGTGTGTTTGTGTTAAGATGACTGCACCGTGTTTACGTAAAAAACGTCCGCTGGACGGCCAACCATATGTTAGGTGACGTACTGCAGTTAGCATGGCTAAAACTGCCATGAAATGTCACTTTGTACGTGTTTCCTGGCTGGCCTTCAAGCGATGCGTCCCTTTGTGCGCGTTTCCTGGCTGGCCTTCAAGCGATGCGTCCCTTTGCACGCGTTTCCTGGCTGGCCCTCAATCGATGCGTCTTTTTGTACGCGTTTCCTGGCTGGCCTTCAAGCGATGCGTCCCTTTGGTAACGGCGTGCGCAGCACCGAATTAAGTCTGCACGTCAGTGAAAGGTCGCAGACCTGGGACCGAGTCGTGCTCTGACAGACACTCTGTTGGACTGACAGCAGTCTTGTCTGTGGCCTTTTAGGTCAGAAAGGACAACGCAAAAGTAACGTGGCCACGGAAGGACGCAAATGAGGACCACAGTTAATGGCGGTTCTCAATAGGAAAACGAGGGAATGCTTTGAATGCAGGTTAGTATTACTGTGGAAGAAATCAACATATACCATGTCAGCACGTCTGACATCAATTCTCAGTTCCGTCAATGTGTACTGGCCAAGCTATAACGGTTCAAATTAAATAAGAGGTTGCCAGGAGGGGGTTCCAGCCTGTCCCTGCACCGAGGCGTGGGGCACCGACTATCGAACCTCGAAATACGCGCCCGTCCCCACCAATGTGCAAAGGGTCGCCATCAAAGGGAGGCAAAGGCCAAACAGGCAACCAGATCAAATCACCTGTGAACAATTGTCGCCTTCGAAGAACGTCTCGTTGGATGACCAGCAGCACTGGTCCTTGTTCAGCCAGAACGCTTCCGGACATACACCGAACCGCATATCCTCCATCCACCTGCGGGCGGCGGTGAGGCGGTGGTCAGCCGGTCACGTTCACCCCAGCCCCCGGATCTGCCATCGATAGCGACGAGGAGAACACGGGCGCGACGCGGTGAGCCGCACGCCCCGGGCCATGTGTGGGGCTCGCGGCGACGCCGGCCAGGCCCGCCGCCGGCTGGTGCAGCACACGGGCCTCCCAGCCGTCAGGGCAGCGCACGCCCGGTCACTCGGCCGGCGTCAGGGCAGACCACGTCCGGTCACTCGGCCGGCATCAGGGCAGAGCCCGCCCGGTCACTCGGCCGGCGTCAGGGCAGGGCACGCCCGGTCACTCGGCCGGCGTCAGGGCAGAGCCCGCCCGGTCACTCGGCCGGCGTCAGTGCAGAGCACGCCCGGTCACTCGGCCGGCGTCAGGGCAGGGCACACCCGGTCACTCGGCCGACGTCAGGGCAGCGCACGCCCGGTCACTCGGCCGGCGTCAGGGCAGCGCACGCCCGGTCACTCGGCCCGCGTCAGGGCAGAGCACGCCCGGTCACTCGGCCGGCGTCAGGGCAGGGCACGCCCGGTCACTCGGCCGGCGTCAGGGCAGAGCACGCCCGGTCACTCGGCCCGCGTCAGAGCAGGGCACGCCCGGTCACTCGGCCGGCGTCAGGGCAGAGCACGCCCGGTCACTCGGCCCGCGTCAGGACAGATCCGGTCACTCGGCCGGCGTCAGGGCAGGGCCCGCTCGGTCACTTGGCCGGCGTCAGGGCAGACCCGGTCACTCGGCCGGCGTCAGGGCAGAGCCCGCTCGGTCACTCGGCCGGCGTCAGGGCAGACCCGGTCACTCGGCCGGCGTCAGGGCAGCGCACGCCCGGTCACTCGGCCTGCGTCAGGACAGACCCGGTCACTCGGCCGGCGTCAGGACAGACCCGGTCACTCGACCGGCGTCAGGACGGACCCGGTCACTCGGCCGGCGTCAGGACAGACCCGGTCATTCGGCCGGCGTTAGGGCAGCGCACGCCCGGTCACTCGGCCGGCGTCGGGGCAGACCCGGTCACTCGGCCGGCGTCAGGACAGACCCGGTCACTCGGCCGGCGTCAGGACAGACCCGGTCACTCGACCGGCGTCAGGGCAGCGCACGCCCGGTCACTCGGCCGGCGTAGCCCGTACACAAGCCTGAGCGCAGACGCTACCACAACGCCAGTGGCCCAGCATCGGCACACTCCGACCAACGGCCACCGGCTCGGGACGGGCGAGCGGACGGCAGCGGCGAGAGGCCGTGCGTGAGCGTCGTCACAGCCGGGGTCGGTGACCTGACCACGGACCTGCGGCGGCCGGCCCGCTACCTGGCGCCGATGTCGATGACACCGGCCACGCCTCCGGCCACGATGCCGACGAACAGCACGCACAGCCATCCGCTCCAGGCGTCGTGGAACTGCCGGATCAGGTCGAAGAAACCCGTCTGCCGCTTCTTGACGATGTACCTGCGCGAGCGGGGGTGAGCTGACATCAGCTGGCACACCGGCGCCCACCTCGGTGACCTCCACACCGTGCCGCGGCACAACGCGCCCTCACAGTACCGGATCGGTATCGCTGGCCCAACTGGTCTAACTGCTTCGTGACATATATCATACAGCTGGACCGGTACTATCAATGGCGCATCCGCAAATCGGGCGCACCGCAAACAACTGCGGGATCTGGCGCCTTCTCGAACTCCATCGGTGGGTGGTGTGACCAGCTGTAACACAGAACCTCACTGCCTCGGGGGCCGATCACCTGTGGCGCATGCGGTCCTCGCCCTGCCTACACCAGCCCCCCGCTGTGACCACGGGTCACCCTGCCCCGGGGGCCGCTCACCTGTGGCGCATGCGATCCTCGCCCTGCCTACACCAGCCCCCCGCTGTGACCAGGGGTCACCCTGCCCCGGGGGCCGCTCACCTGTGGCGCATGCGGTCCTCGCCCTGCCTACACCAGCCCCCCCGCTGTGACCACGGGTCACCCTGCCCCGGGGGCCGCTCACCTGTGGCGCATGCGGTCCTCCCCCTGCCTACACCAGCCCCCCGCTGTGACCAGGGGTCACCCTGCCTCGGGGGCCGCTCACCTGTGGCGCATGCGGTCGCGGGCCAGGTCCCGCTGCCAGTCAATGGTATGGAAGTCGTCGTACTGGCCGAACGGCTCACCCTCTGGCTCGAGCTGCTCCAGACCATGATGGCCGCCGCCGCCGCTCGTGACGCCTGCCGGTCACAGCACGCACACGCACAGGTCCCAACGTGTCGAGAATGGCCGCCGACGGGGTGTGCGCAGGGTGCAGGGGCGGACCCAAGGGGGCCAATCGGACCTCCCAAGGATGGCACAACTCGGGCGAAAAATTACCCAATACGAGCAGCTTGGACTTCAAGACTAGTTTTCGAACACTCCTTGAGATAAAAAAGCAGAACCCGATGACAATTCTGAAACATCGACAGCTTTTTTTGGATTTGCATCCGCCAAACCCGGATTGGCCCCCAAGCGCCGCTCTGGACCCGCCCTTGGCGGTACGTGCGCAGCGCCAAACTGTGCGTGAAAATGCATGGCCCAGATCGGTAGCACCACACCCCGGTATGCCCGGCACTTTCGGGCAGGTGTGGCCAGTGATCGATCGAGACCAGGCATGTGTGGCCGGTGATCGATCGAGATCGGGCATGTGTGGCCGGTGGTCGGTCGAGATCGGGCACGTGTGGCCGGTGGTCGGTCGAGATCGGGCATGTGTGGCCGGTGATCGATCGAGATCGGGCACGTTTGGCCGCTGGTCGGTCGAGATCGGGCGTGTGTGGCCGGTGGTCGGTCGAGATCGGGCATGTGTGGCCGGTGGTCGGTCGAGGTCGGGCATGTGTGGCCGGTGGTCGGTCGAGATCGGGCGTGTGTGGCCGGTGGTCGGTCGAGATCGGGCATGTGTGGCCGGTGGTCGGTCGAGGTCGGCGCCGTGTCCGAGGGTTCAGAGCACCGCAGAGCTGGCGCCGTCGTCTGAGGCAGTTCTGACGTGTGTGCGTGACGTGACGTGAGTGCGCTCCGGCCTAGATGCGCGCCACCCGATATCTGCACTTCACAGATGGACGGCAGCCCGGCGTCCGCGCCGCGCCCGCGCCGCTGCCAGCGGAAGGCATGACTCAACTTGTCGGTGTCCGCCTGAACAGCCGCCCAGCAGCCCTTCACACGGCCCAAAGCGAAGTGCTGGCACCCGACGCTCACGCGCAGCTGCCGCAGGTCCGGCCATGCAGACTTCACGCCTCCGGACAGCAGGTCAGCGCCCCCACCCGAGCACGGTTCGCTAGTCAATGCTGGTCGCGGTCCGCCAGCTGGGCTGGAGTAACTGCCGACCGCGGTCCACCAGCCAGGCTGGAGTAACTGCCGACCGCGGTCCGCCAGCCGGGCTGGAGTAACTGCCGACCGCGGTCCATCAGCCGGGCTGGAGTAACTGTCGACCGCGGTCCGCCAGCCGAGCTACAGTGACTGCCGACCGCGGTCCACCAGCTGGGCTGGAGTAACTGCCGACCGCGGTCCGCCAGCCGGGCTGGAGTGACTGCCGACCGCGGTCCGCCAGCCGGGCTGGAGTAACTGCCGACCGCGGTCCGCCAGCCGGGCTGGAGTGACTGTCGGCCGCGGTCCGCCAGCCGAGCTGGAGTAACTGCCGACCGCGGTCCGCCAGCCGAGCTGGAGTCACTGCCGACCGCGGTCCGCCAGCCGAGCTGGAGTCACTGCCGGCCGCGGTCCGCCAGCCGAGCTGGAGTCACTGCCGACCGCGGTCCACCAGCCGGGCTGGAGTGACTGCCGACCGCGGTCCGCCAGCCGGGCTGGAGTGACTGCCGGCCGCGGTCCGCCAGCCGGGCTGGAGTGACTGCCGGCCGCGGTCCGCCAGCCGGGCTGGAGTGACTGCCGACCGCGGTCCGCCAGCTCTTGATCGATCAGCACCCGCCGGTGAGCGCAGCCGGTGTTAGCTGCTCGAGTCGGATACTTGGAATCAGCGGCTTAGTAAAACGGAGGCCAAGACCAAAGACATGGCCGCGCGACGCTCCGCCGAAAAGGCGGGTGTCAGAAAGAGAGGGGGATGGGGGCCACCAGGGAGAGGGGTCGGTGCCACCAGCGCGTGGGTCCGGCCGGTCCGGCGCCACCGCTGACCGCGGTCCGCGCCCCGGCGCAGGCGGCCGGCCTTCCGGCGTGCCGACCGTTCGCTCTAAGCCGGCGGGCCCGCTGACGGCAGGGTGACGGCTCAGCGGCGTGAGCGCGAGCCTCGTGACGCCGCACAGGTGGGCGGGTCGGGACGAACGCCCGCCGTCGGTCACAGCTGCCAGCGGCCGGCGGCCGGCGCCCACCGCCGCCGCCGCGGCCGGAGCGCGAGCCCACTGGGTCCGGTGTCAGCGGCGGCGGCGGCGGCGCCGGCGGCTTCGCTCCCGGCCCGGCCCGGCCCGGCCGCACCGCACGGGGAGGTGTGTTCACTGCATACCCGCCGATGGCCAGCCGGAGGGCAGATACAGCGTGACGGCCGGCCAGCATCGGCGGCGGCGACTAACGCGTCCCGCGCAGGTGAGCTACGGGCGCCGCCGCGCCCACAGCGGCCGCGCCACCGCAGGCCCGGCTGCACACGAGGCTGGTGCACGGCTACGTGCTTAGCAGGTGCAGTGAAAATTGTGGAAGGAAATAGCAGCACATATTGTTAGGCATTTGGAAGAGTAGGCAGCACACACTTTCACGCAATGACTTACCTCCAAGGCCAGCGAAGGATACATGTCCTAGAAGGCGGAAAGAAACATCGATCAGTTGGAGCTCGCGTGGTGTCCAAGCGGCGCGGTACATGCACGGGGCATCCAGAAAACATGCAGAGCCGCGCGGCGAAAATGGTCCCGGGGAGCACTGCGACATCCACCAGGCAATCTGTTGTAACCGACGACAGATATAAACCGTTCAGCGGAGGCAGGCATATTCCAAGGGTCAGCTCCAAACAGCCAAGGGCTAAAGGCTACGTCCTCACAGACTGTGTAAAATGAACATGTCTGGGCATGTACGGAACCCAAAGATGTTAACACCCTGGCGTCAATCCCAAAACAATGCAGCTCGTCCCGGAGCGCATTGATAAACCTAGCAGACCGTGAGGCTTGCACTGCTGTTGGTTTGACACCCACTTCAATGCTACCGGGAAACGACAACCAGCTGGCGTCAACTAAGGCCTGCACCCCTCTCTAAAGCCCAAATTGGCCGGACTTTCCGTGGACCTGAGCCAGATCAACATGCCGCTCGGTTTACAAGAGCTTCCATCAAACAAATGCGCTCTCGGATACGATGACCGGAGTAGATGCAAGCCGTCCATATGAGACAACCACTCAAAGCCGTGCGATCGACACAGACGGCACGAGGGGAAGGGGACTACCCAACCTAACCTAAATCGAGCTCCCATTCCAACCACGGTACCTGAACATATGCTGGTCGCAGGTGTGGGCACGACATGACTACAACAGCCTTTACCTGGGTAAACACATGCACACAGCCATTTAAAGCGTCACCATACACGTGAAACACAGGCATCCGTCGCCGTGGGTTGAGCCAGGCGTCCCCCACATCAGCCGACACTGCAGCGCGCTGCTGAGTGACGTCCCGCCGGCGGCTGTGTGGCCGGTTCGCCGGGATCATGCGGTCCAAGTCGGCGCGAATGCTCGGATACACGTGTGTGAACGGATGATCGCATGCGCGCGCGCGTGCGTGGTGTGTGTGCGCAGGTCAGCAAGCATCTTTCGGTGTTGATATATGGACCCGCCCAAGCGTGAAAAACTACTGGTTAGACGACAGCCGTTTGCATGACTTCCTACACAAACTGCTTTGAGCATTTCAATTTCTTTAAAATCATCCCGCATGAATCATCCCGGAAAGACTGCTTTGACACAAGCAATAGCTTGCTACGCCCTGAAACTCCGTATATTATCGCAACACTTCTTAAAACCGTCTGCAATGTTTTAGGATAACTCTTTCAACGTTTTCATGATCATGCCTTACGAGAGGGCTTCAAAAGAGCCTCTCTCCAGTGACGGCGAAGCAGGCATCAGGCAGCATCAAGATGGCGAGAGTCTATGTGATACAATGACGTAACCAGCTACTCTGGAAACAAACCGGGCCCAGGTGCGCCGCGCAACATGGACAATGCCAATCAACGGGACACGGGAAAGACCTGCATAGGGCGGGCCACAAACAGAGGCCGCTTGACCGGCGCCGGGGGGAGGGGGGGGGGGGGGGGGGGCGGTGCGGCGTGCTGAGGTCGCGGGTGGCAGCCAGACTGACCGTGGGGTGGCGGCCGGTCGCTCTCCGGTAGCGAGTGCTCCAGCACCGTACCGCCGGTGGTGATCTCCATGAGGTCGTCGTCGGAGCGGCGCCGCTGACCGCCGCCGCCAGTCTCTGGCGACTGCTGCGTGCACAGGTCAAGCCGGGTCAGCGCGCCGCGCTCAGCCGCCGGCCACACGGCAGTGGCAGGTCACAGGTCAGCCGGGTCAGCGCGCCGCGCTCAGCCGCCGGCCACACGGCAGTGGCAGGTCACAGGTCAGCCGGGGCAGGTCAGGTGGCGGCGGCACGCGGGCGTGGAGCAGCACCTGAGGCGGCGGGTCGGAGCAGTCGGAGGCCGAGTCGTCGGCGCGCTGGACCGGCTGGAAGACCAGCCGACCCCTTGCGGCCGCCCAGCGCAGGTGGGAGGCGTACATGGTCGCGTCGACCGGAGCCTGCGACGCGGCCGGGAGCGGCGCGCGGCGCGGCCGGCCGGCGGCGTGTGTCGGGGGCGCCGCCGACCGCAGCACCTGTCACCGGCCGCGGCCGCGAGCGGTCAGCTGCTGGCCCAGCTGGGGCGGCCACCGCCCACCGTCGGTCGCCGAGCATGCTCGGCGGACCAGCCCCCGTCCCCCCCCCCCCCCCCGCCTGACTGTGGTCACGTCGGTACAGCACCGCCCTCCCCCCCCCCCCCTTTGCTTCCCACGTGGGCAGCGTTTTTCCGAGCATAACTAACAGAAAACTTGGGAACGTCCCGACTCTTTCACACCATCTACCCGCCCCCTAATCTTACCATATCGAAGATGAGCTTGGACAGTCAGGTGAAAATCTAACCCACACTGTTCCTTGGAATGTCAATAACTAAATAAACCCAAGTGTAAAGGCCACCTTGCTGGACGGCCAACCGGACATGATTCAACGTCCCGTGGAGTGCTCCACGCCATGGTGTCGTATATTGCTCTCTACCAACGCCCTTTCCAGTATTACACAGGAAGTGGCGAGTACAGAGCGTTACTAAATACAGACGTAAACCGCGTCCTCAAGACAAAGCGGTCAGACAAATAAACAGCCCAGTGCTTAGACCGAGAAGGCCGTTTGCTATCCACCGCGTCGATCTTCCGAAGTAAGGCACTGGCACGGGAAAGGCCATGTGCAAACGAGCCTAGCCAACCGTAGAATAATCGAAAGAATGATGATTATGGCGCACGCACGCCGTGGAACTGGGTGTGGTAATTTGTCCGTAAGCATTCAATTGTCGTCAGTCGCTGCTTTGCTAGCGACATGACGAAAAGAAAGCAAGCATGGGGCCCTGATGGGCATACACGTCCGATAAAACGCTATGCCCCAATTCGTTCGCTTTGAAATAGCAGCACGACATTATCGCAATTTCGGTAAAAGATGAGCGGTTAAGCGCCTCTGCCCCGTGCCCACCGCAAATGGGTCTATTGTTTGTTCAGGCGTGTCATCCTACGCCAACGCAGGATGTCAGGCCTGACGTACGTGGCCGCCCGGAAATGAGGTCACCCCCGGCCGTCTGGTGAGTGACGGGGTACCACGCTGTCCCCCGGCGTGCGCCATTATAAATACCACGCCGTCTCTCCTCTCCGTAAACAGCGTCCAGCAGGCCAGGCGGAGTGCGGATCTCCGTCCACAGCCGCGCGGACGGTGTCGGTTCGCCCCCTCCCCCTCCCCCACACGCCGGTCAGCGGTTTGTCCTCACAGAATCTTCTGGCTGTCCTACGCGCTACGCGGGCGGCGGTCTTACGATTGGCATTGTCACAAGTGGGCAAGTTACAATTGCAGTCACCTTGCCACATGCATAGTGGCCTTACCCCCTTTACGGATCTATACATTTCGTTTTTTTGCGCTTTGACATTTCGACATGGCTACAGGACGGACATCCAAGTCGTCGACAAAGCAGGCGCTGGTGACTTGACGTCACCCATCCAGGCAGTAAACCAGACGTGTTCTCGTCGGCCGGCCGCCGCCGTGCTCGCCCCGTCCCGCCCCGCACCAGCCACCGGAGGCTGCCGCGGTGAACACGTGTACCGCCCCCCCCCCCCCCCCCCAGCCCAGCACGTGCTCCGCCGCGTAGTCTGGCGTCGCCGCCCAGCTCTGGAACCGTCCAGGATTGAGCAATCGGCTCGGGACGGCGAAGATCGCCGCGACAGAGGGACGCACCGCCCGTCTGGCGCGGCACTGCCACCAGACGCGTATCAACCCGCGCAGACAACGGTACTGCGTCGGCACGAGTTCCGCCGTTTTACCAGGGCAGCGTGGCACGGACGCGGGAGCTGTGGCCTCCTCCATTGACGCCAGTGGCTCGTGTCAACACAGCACGCTGTCGCGCTACAGCTGGTACGTTAGTTTATAACGTACTTCAAAGGAGGCGGGCGTTCACAGATTCCGGTATGCCACACGGTCTCTGGAGTCAAATGGGAACGCCATGTATCGCGGACTACATTGTGACATGCACCGACCCACAACGCAGCCGACCCGAGTGCTGCCTCGGTGGTTGTCAGCCGCGCGCTGGAAGGTGGGGTGGGTGGCTGGCGCCTGTCCACCATTTCCGTAAATGTCCGCCACTTACAGCACATCACGCTATTCACGGGTGCTCGCCGGCAGTGTTACCGACGTGGTCTCGCCGCAGCAGTGGACGTGCGCGCAGCTAAAAGGCGCTCAAGAGTATTGGCTGTGCGGGCGCGGCTTGTGCTATACTTTACACGTCAACACGACACGATCCGAGATACCCCGCAGGCACAGAAAACATCAGAGCATTGACGTCACGCAGTGCCACTGCATCACACCACTCGCATCACCAGGGACACACCGCACACATTCCCCAGCGGGGCACGACTAAACGGCTGCTGTTGTTCACGAGATCAGACGCTGAGAGACGCGCGGCCACACTGCAGCGGTGTCACGAGCGGCACAGCCCGGCCGCCTGGAAGCACCAGGCTACCAGCGGCACACGACACAGTGCAGTCGCCACATTGTCCATGTGACGTCACCACTTCAGCCAACAAGGCAGCAGCCGGAACCCGAACACTCTACCGCACGCGCAGCCGTGTCGGCCAGGCAGCGTGCGAGCCTACACCAGCACCAGAAGCCCTCCACCAAGCTGAAAGCTTTCTCGCCTGCACGCCTCGAGTGTGTGTGGGGGGGGGGGGGGGGGGGGGGGATTCAAGCCACATCACCCTGCCCCAAGGCGCTCACTGCCGAAGCAAAAGTACAGGGCGTCTGGCCTTATGGTGACGCACGTATGTCCCATTCACAGGCCCACCCGCCAGCACCGCTAGCTCAGAGATACTAAGCGCTAACACCAGTTTGCCAGAGCAAAGACTCCGGTGCTCCGTGTCACTCCGGCAACTGACGACAGAGCGCTGACTGCCAGGTTCGCCATGCCGAGCAGACGTACGGCCCGGGGTCGGACCGCATCTCCCGGGGTCGGTTTCGGAATGGCACGTGCTGGGACTGTTGCAAATACCGCCACCTCGGCCAGGACGGGGGCGGCCGCTGCTCCGTGGCAGCTCCCAACCCACTGTGCAGGACAAGCACGGCAGACGACGATACAGGAGTCAATTGCCCAAATACAGTTGCCTATCAACTGGCGGCAGTGACGCGCTACATATCAGCAGAAAATGGGTAAACCTGCTAAAAATCGCGAACTACTTAAAAACGACTCAGTTGGGGTCATGAGCGGTGTAGGAAGCTGGATAAACTTATGTCTTAGTTTATTGCCTGTATACCAACTAATTGATTATTGAACATAATCACAGTGCGCGTTTCTATCAAGCGTCATAAATAGCTTCCATGATTGAAAATGAGCATTTACTGCCACACAAGTACCCACTATACTCAGTGGCCAATAACTGGGGACACCTGCGACGTCTTGTGACATCTGCGACGTAACCTTTTTGGGACGTCGAAGACCATTTTGTACTTAACAATAATGTCGATGTTGCAATGGAACCTCAGATGTCAAAAATAGCTTCATATAGTCCATCTCAGCCTTTATTGCGTGCCCCTTTAAACGGTCTGCTGTGTGCTTAGTGCTTTCCCACAAAGTACTTGTTAGTACTTATTGCTGCAGGCTAACCGTGAACCACTCCCTCACAGGCAAACAAGAGAAAAGAGCGGCCGAACCACTTCTACCATACCTGGCGGAACATCGCAGCCAACCCGTCAGCCAAATCCAAGCCTTAGAGGTACTAAAACAGATGGGTTTGTTAGATATTGGCATGTGACAGTATGCACACAAATACAGACAAAGCCGATCACGACGCAGTGTAGCCTCTGTCCTGCAGGGAAATGGTAACCAAACAATACAGTCAGATGGTCAACTAATGCCAAAACATATGCAGAAGTATCATCAATAGAGCTCACATGCCTAAAAAGTAACAAATCATCACTCTTATAAATTGACCAGTGTCACTTTCAAACATCCCAGACTGGTCTCAGAGTTTGTAGACCGATCTCAGAGTTCAGAGGGGAGAAAAAACAGACAGCTGGATGCCACCAGCCAACTTTAACAGTATACAACTGGCTAACTTATGAAGATTGTCAGTGGTCAGTTGCTTTGTGATACCAGGGCAACCCATAACCAATCTAATAAACCAAGACAATGCGAGATAAACATGATACAAGTCTTGAAAACCATCCCCATATGGTGTTAACAGACCTTTTACAGCATCCAAACATCATCACCATACATGAACATTGTAAGTGCATGCTTATGGCTGGGAGTAAAGGTGGAAGCCTAATAAAAAAGTCACAGGAATTATCTCAGATGACCACACATTGCCTCACAGAGGCAACCATGACACAATCTGCCTTGGAACAATGTTGGTCTGTGGATGCATGCAAGAGTACCTACAGAATAATTCAGCTGATCTGACCCAGCCTGATGGACCAACCAAAGCACATGATTTAAAATGAATATTGTATCAGTTATAGTGTGCCAGTAGAGTAGCATAAGTTGCATGAGTTATAAAGTATGGATCTCATTTACAAGTTTCTGCCATCACACATTGGGTGAGGGATCAGCAGGGAAGGTTGGGGGCATCCTCCATCAGCATACTGTAGCTGGCAAAACTTGCCATGCTGGGGCTAATGCTGCTGGCAGCCATGCTTCAGTCTACCACTGTGCAATCAGACAGATTACTGTTGAGGTATCTGGCCACTGCTAGTTGTGGAAATTACAAGTACACAGAAATGGTGACAATTAATCACATAAAAACAGCATGGAAAATATGCCTCACACTTTCCAACTGCTGCATCATTCATTGCAAATGACATATTCTATTGAGCAATGTTTAATTGTGAGCTAAGGCTCTTCATTCTATCATATTTATACTGTGCTACAGCCACCTTCATCAGATTAAATTGCTAGTCCACAGAAGTCATCACCCAGCAGCACATCATGATCAGTTCATGCCATTTCTGCACCATATGAATGACTCATTCAGATGGGATGTGCACATACCTGGGCAGATGGAGATCACAGAGAGTCATATGACATGGAGTCAGTAGTGTTCAGGGCATCCATTTCCATATAAATGACTTGTTCAGATGGGATGTGTATATACCTGGGTGCATGGAGACCCCAGGGAGCTGTATGACATGGTGTCAGTAGTGTTCAGGGGATCAGTTTCCACATGAATGACTCATTCAGATGGGATGTGTACATACCTGGGCAGATGGAGACCCCAGGGAGTCATATGACATGGTGTCAGTAGTGTTCAGGGGATCAGTTTCCACATGAAAGACTCGTTCAGATGGGATGTGTACGTACCTGGGCAGATGGAGACCCCAGGGAGTCGTATGACATGGTGTCAGTAGTGTTCAGGGGATCAGTTTCCATACCATCATCATCAGTTGAGTAACCAGCTGAAAAAAGGAGCATGATGATTGGCTATTGGAGTTGTATGATGCACTCAACAAGCACTGCAATATGGCTTTGCTGGCCATACACCTGGGCAAAAAGGGTAGGCCCTGCAGGGAAGTGAAGCCAATACTACTGGCTTTCTAGACACCCCAGTGAGTGATGAAATATGTAATAGTCTAGAGGAACTAATAAGTAACTAACACATGAATTAAAATCAAAAGGCTTCATAGCAAAACTGCACACCCCTAGCAGCCCAGACAGCTGCTATTCAACAACTGTTTGTGAACAATTACATCTATGAGCCAAGACACAGGCCCACTTTAGCACCACATTCTGGAATGGCTGGACCTGGGCAATAGTGTTAACTGAGGAAGAAAAACACATGAGAAGTCCCGTCACAGTTTGCATCAGCCAAAGTGCTGTGCTGCAGCCCCATCATGTCACACAAGAAAAATAATCCATACATACCTCTAAGGGTGACTGATATTTGTGAAAAAACAACCATAAAATCACCCATCCCATTGGTCAGTGATGTTGCCCTTGACTGGAGCTGAAGTAAGAAGGACAGGGCAATGCAGGCTGGCTCTCAAAGATGAACATTCAGATTACATTATAAAAGGAATGGTGCATGACTGTAGCCAAAGAAAATGAAAACCAGCCCCATAATTCATGACAAAAGTTCATATGGGATATTGGAAAGCTGCCTCCCACATCCTAAAGTGCTTGTTCAGTGATGTGGCATTGTTCTTTGATCTAATGGTATCAGACACCAGCGTGAAATGGTCAGATCAGATTAGATCATGATCAGATCAGAATACAAGCTATCTTAGCTATTGTCTTGAATGTAATGAAAGCTTTAAGATAAATGCTGCTCTCTCTCTCTCTCTCACTCTACCTCTCTCTCTTTGTCTCTGTCTCTGTCTCTGTCTCTTCTTTTGCCATGGTGGAGCACAGGCATGCATTGGTGCAACATGAAGTATGTCATGGATGTGATCATCTTCAGGATACTTCCTACTGTAATGTCAAGGGTGTCATAGAACTACTGCTTCAACATTTTCTCTCAACATTTGAAAGAGGGTTTTGTAGAAAATGCTATAGGAGTGGACTTCTTACTGGGCATGATCTGTTGCAAAACACACTGTCGCATCATCCCAGTACAGCTATTTCATTTCAAACACAAACTACCAGGCTATTTTGGCATTATATAGAGCTATGACTCAATTGTTAGCCATGTTTCACCCAGATAAACTACCCTTCAGATCAGGCACCAGCACAGATTTGGGATGGCACAGCCTGGCCACATATCAGACTGACTCTTACATTCACTGAGCAACAGGGACTTAAAACAGGCTGCTCTGCACATGGAACTGCATGTAATGGGCATTAAGCTTCATTCATTATTTCAGAATTACACTTTACAGGTAAGGTATTGAACACACTGAACAAACAACACACAGAAATCAAAATCATGTCATCTTACTTCCAGCCTAAAAATGCCATGAAAGCATACTGTTTTATGAACTTACAGTACAACACTGACACATCAAGGTGAAATACCCAGCTGTAAATGATAATGCTTCTGTTGATTGGCACATTTTCACATGAATTAACCCATGATGGGTTGTGAGCAAATTTGGTATGATTTTACACATTATGTTATGATAAGATGCAGGTTGATTGGACAGCAGACAACAAATGTGGGGTTAAAATGCTAGTACAGACCACACTGAGTTTACTCACCACCCACAATAATGGGCTAGGAGGCAGGGTGGGGTGTTGTGGCTTTGTGTGCTTTGCTATTTGTAATGAGTTCATTCCATAACCAATTTCAAATGTTTTCACATCTGGGCTGGTATATTGACCTCACTGCCTATATAGCTACCCATTTATGCAATTTTTATGCAGCTACCTGCCTGGGCATTTAATCTTTCAATTTCAAATTCATTAGGCTTTTTTCAAATTCAAACTCAATAGGCAGTTACATACACTGCAGATTAGCATGCTGTCTACAGTAATCACTCAATGTGCTATGAAAACTACGGTGGGAAAACGACGCCTTCAAAGGAAAAAACAAAAATAAGCACACCATAAATATCGCAAACCTCCTTCTCTGCACCTGGTTCCGCTTATGACGATGCCATCCATATTTTTTAACCAATATATACTTAAATATTTGGGCCCCACCTATTTCATCTGCATCCATCAATTAGTCACGCACCAACCAACACCTCCATCCACACCTCTGTATGTCGCTCGCGGCCCCAACCAGTACACCGTCACAACGTCGCTCACGTCACTTCGTCAATGCTGTGAGACCGCGATCTGCGAACTAAGGTCGTGTAATAAGGTGTGGTGGCCAGGGATTTTGTCAGTAGCTTCCCATCGCCATTACGCTGACGTCACAAAGTCACAGCCTACCATCGCCGGCCCGGCCTGGAACCGCAAAACGTTCTAGGTCGTAGCGTCCAATGCTGCTTTCATCAAACATAGCGACATCCAGCGTTCATAACATCTAAAAATGCGTCTAGGACCGTTGACGGACTTTAAAAACAACCAAGCTGGCATCATCTAAAATCATCTCATCCAATGCTCATAACATCCAGCGATCACAACTCCCACTTAATTAGCTTTGATTGGCACTGTGGTGTCCTATCCCTGGTAGAAATAGAGCATTGCGGATACCGCAGCATCTTATTTTTCGTGAACATCGGCTATGAAGCCCCCGAAGGCCATGATGCACGACGTTAAACACGGGATTCGTCACACCCTACTGCCTGGCCTTTTTACACATGTTTGACTCATAACTGACCTATTTTGCCGAAAACGATTATTGTGCACAACATGCAGATGCCTGGCGAGGACGCAGAACAAACGAGGGAGGGGCAGCTCCACAACTAGCAGGAATCAACCACCACGTGTGTAGATTTATATTATTTTGTGAGGGCCCTGCTCCCCCCCCCCTCCCCATTTAAGTTGCCCCTACCAATGTTGGCCGGAACCCCAATGTTTTTGGCTGTAATATTACAAAAAAGGTGGGAAAAGATGATCATAACACAAAAGCAATCTTCTTTGATCTTTCTGCGTAGTGGCGTCTCGTACTACTCCCAACAAAAGTCTTGGTTGATCTCACCACAAGATGAAAATCATAACAGCTGAGCGGATAAACGATGCAGTAAACTTCACATACCCAGCGCCATAAGACACGCACTGGTTTGTGAGATTTAAGTGAAAAGCTCTGTAATATGGGGATGACCTATGTCCTTCATGGCTGACCCCGTCCCCGTCCCTCACAACCAAAATGCATGTCGCCTCCCATGGCCGTCACAGAAGAGCGGCATCGGCGCCCTAAGGTGGCCTCTAAAGGGGCGCCTTCACGTGCCGATCAAAAGAGTCATGACGCAGGCGTCCACCCTGGATCCAACCCTGCATGACTTCTTTGCTGCTTAAGCTAAAAATTTCTCATAAATCTATACAAAGATTAAAAACATATATTGCGTTTAATCAAACTAAAGTTGGCTACATCCAGTGAGAAAAAATGTGGCGGGAGTTGGTTGTCGGACCTTTATCTCGGCCCCCAATAATTTACAAAAATGTATACCCCTGTCGACCACTCATGTCTCACTCTCTGCACTTCACAACTGGCTCTGTACTTCTCTTATGACGTAAAGCGTCCGAGTTTTCCACAGGTTATCCACAGGTTTCCACAGGTTAGTCGTGCAGAGGGAAAAAGTTCGCTAAGTATCCCACTTCTCTATTTCCCAATGCCGATATGATCGCCAGCTCCCACATGTACCCGCTGTTACACCACGATGCTGAACACAGTGGAACAACCACGCAGCAGCGCGGGGCATTCATTCTCGAGCACTAGGGTCGACCATAAAAGCTCGCATTTTAGGGGGAATGTAACTATAGGTTTCGGGACGAAAATTTGTGCAGCCAAATGCGTTGCGCTAACCCTTCAGACAACTAACAACTAACAGACTAAGGGAACAAATGTGTCATTCCTCAGGAACCGTTTATGCCTAAAGCAAATCAAACGTCAGCATACGAAAAGGAAAAAGACGAGGTAAGACCATATTCACTTTGCACCGACCACAAGCTGTCACACCTGTTTAGATGCGCACATGGCAGTAGCATACCCAGCCCTAACCCGATAAAGCCACCTTAGGTGCAAATGCATGCCGCAATCACCAGCCCCGCGCGATTCGCTCGTCCAGCGCGGAGAGCTTTTTAGAGCAGCAACTTCGCCACGCTTTCTACACCAATATCTCGATTCATTCCTCGACCCAACACTAGCTGGAGCACGACCTCGAAGGACTCAACAATGCTCATCCAGGCCGGCGACAGCACCATAAGACATCTGGACTGATGGTGTATATCCAGCTGTCTGGCTCACAACTGGGTGGCGTCTCTCGGGTCGCCAGTCCCATGCTTGGGTCGAGGTGTTTGCGTTTAGCTGCCACGGACCAGGGAACGAAGGACAGCACTTCGTGCGCGATGTCGACCTAGTCCACTTTGCCAGCACAATGGGAGTGATTTTCGTCCCTCTCGTCATCGCTGCCACTGCGGTTATGCTCGCCAACTCACTGACCCCGCCGTCCTCTCCGTATTTGTTCCGGGCGGACACTGGAGGTAGCGCGGCCGCTCGCAGGTACGCGGTCTTTACGTGATCTGTATGCGCTGCTGCTTCCACGTCAGCTGGATCTTGGATCTGCAACACAACAAAATGAAGTAATTTCGGCATGCGTAAAGTGTGCATCAGTCAGAGCCTATTACACACCAGCAGTCTTGTTTCTGTGTCCGTGACAGCGAGGCATCATGGACTCAGGCACGTCAGTCCTTCCGCTGTCGCACCTTTGGTTTGATACACATTCACATCTTCCGCGGTACAGCGTAACATCATTCGGGCAACGGAACCAGACGGTCAACGGCCTATGATAGCTGCGCTGCGTGCACAGTACGTAAATATGCCTCTTACGTTTTGTCCATGACATGAAACATACGTGGGCTGATCAAACCTGGCTTACTGGGGTGGAGGGGAGGGGGGGGGGGGGGCAAGCGCAAGCAATCGCTTTGAAATATGTAATGGGCATTCATCCAGCGGTTCGATAGATGTCCCGTGATCTGTGCAGTGAGTCTCGGTGTTTTGTAACATAACCAATGACATTCATCAACTTTTCAATCGTCTTCGAAAAACAATGTCAGCACATCCCGACACTGGACTGAGGGACTACCTGGACCTGGAGGCCCTGCAGGGTTTCGTTCGCCAGGCTGTCTGTCTGATCCAGTCGCTGGTCTGCGCTGAGGAAAGCCATGTCAGGCTCCAGTCGAACGGTGCGACCTTGCTTGTTGGCAATCAGCATCGGAAATGGCGCCATCACCATCACTTGCATCGTCCACGGCGCCTTCGCTGCGTCAGGCTCCTTGTTAGTGCCGTCCTGAGTATGGATGTGCAAGAAGCAGTTCTCCGGGCTATCCCGATTCAAATGTGACATCAGAATGTACCTCAGCTCTGGGGATATTCGCTGAAGCTCTTCGTACAAGCTGCAGAGCGACGCTATGCTCCGAAACATGCCCCTTTGGAAGAGAAGAGGCGCGGCGATGCCCTCAGCATGCCACGGTTTGAATCTCAGACACAGCTTCTCCATCGCCGCAATTTCCTCGTCATGCGCCACCTTTGCTGCCAGCGTGATTTCGTATTCGCACCGCCCGGCCTCAGGTCGTAAGACGTGTGACTGCTGTTGGTGTCGAACCACCGAACGGTGCTGAGTACCTTCTCCACCTGCGCCCCACGGCATCGGAGATGGGCGGCAACGTTGGCATCCGCAGACCGAGAGGGCAGCTGTGTTGCCGGTCGCACTCTCTGGGCGCTTTGTCCGGAAACCCGCGGCAGACATGGCATCACTGCCAATCTCCTGGCAAGAAGAGTGAGGTCGGCCAATCACTGCCACAAGGCGAAGAGCAGGGCTAGTGCACAGTAGCGCAGGCAGGGAGCACAGGAGGCACGTGCGCCCCCCCCCCCCCTCCCTCCCCTCGGAGCCTACTATTAAGGACCCGAAAAGCCAACCAGGGGTCTTCAGAGGTTCCGCCCGCAGAACTGGGCACTCAAATGACAGCCAGAGTGCCCCGAGCGCTGATCAAGGGTCCACTGAGTCAATAAGAGCCAATATTTTGGTCAGACGCCACCAGTAACGCACAGTCGGCTCCGTGGCGGCAGGGGCCTAGGGGTCCATTTCCCAAGCAGGGACAAAGTCGGAGCCAGTGATCTACATTGCTCGGGGTCCCACAGCGCCCAACAAGGGCCCTGTGTTGTCAAGGAGCTCCGAGTCGGCCAGAGGCAGTGTTCGAGGAGTCCCGAAGAACCTGGAAGAGCCCACCCGGTCCGACGATCAAGAGCTCAGTTGAGAGGTGTAAGAGCATAAAGGGCTGGTAGGAATCTTATTCATGGGCCCAGACCTGCGAAGTGATTCTTCAAATAACGGTCAGAGGGCCCTTTGCGCCGATCGGGGACCCCTGATCGGCGCAAAGGGCCCCCTGCGTTGATATGGGCCTATACGTGGGTCAGATACTGCCTTACCACAAAGTCGGCCTCGTGTCGGTATGGCTCTGAGGACCCACTTGCCAATCAGCTATAAAACCGGGGTCAGTGATTTCACTGGCCGGGGGCCTTGTACTGTTGGGGTCTACAGCGCCTAACGGAAGACCCTGGCTCGCAAGGGCCCCGATCCAACCAAGGGAAGTGCTCGATAAGGCCCGAAGAGGAGCCCGAGCGGTCAACGGAACCGACTACCGAAGGCCCGGTGGGAGGACATAAGGGCCCGAAGGACTGACTGTAGATCACATAAAGAATCGCGGCCCGTAGGGTCGTGACCTGAAATATCAGTCAGAGATCCTCTTGCGCCGTTTGAGGAACCGATGACACTATGCGGGTGTCTAAATCAGTCAGAGACCACGAGCACCGAACAGTCGGCTCCATGTCCGTATGAACCCTTCAGACCCATTACCCACGCAGAAACGAGGCCGGGGTCCGTGACTTGCAATGCTTGGGGTCACAATGAGGGGGACACAATGAGGGGCTCCTGTGTCGGTTAGGGGCCACAGTGCCGAACAGGGACACTGTGGCGGCAGGGGCCCCGAGTCGGAGCGATGTTTGAGGGGACCCGAAAGGGGCGAAGGGTCTCTCGAGACCAAAGATCGAGGGCCAGATGGAATTGCTGAAGGGTCCGAAGGGCTACCTGTAGGCCACATTAAGGACTCCGCCCATAGGGCCGTGACCTCAAATGACAGCAAGATTATTTCTTGCACCGATAGGGACCTTTGAGACAGAGCGTTCTTCTATTTCGGCCAGAGATCACGAACAACGAAAAGTCGGCTCCGTGTTGGTCTGAGCTCGGCGGGCCCACTTTCCAAGCAGGGTCACGGCCGGGCCCGCGATTTACATTGGTCGGGATCCTGTGTCGTTCAGGGGCTACAGTAGCTAGCAGGGTATTCTGTGTCAACAAGGGGCCTCAAATCCGTCAGGAGAAGATTTGTTCAACAGGGGCGGAGCCCGAATGGCAGAATGTCTCTTAGGTTGGTCGGGGCCCTCTGGCAATTTCAGAAATCTTATTATGAGTGCTCACATTGAGGTAATAAAAGAGTCCTGTGCCAGTCAGAGCCCTTACTACCGAACGGTGGGCCCCCAGCCCTTTTCTAGCATGGGCCCTTTAAGCCCAGCTGGAGTCTATGTGGCAATTATTGGGCCACCTGCAGTGAGCAGAGATGTTTTAACGTTAATGACGGTTCACACGCCAACCCGGGGCTAGCTGCGCAGCTCAGGAGGCCTCCCGCGTCGGAAAGCAGACCAATGTGGCATGATGTATACTCGTAAAGGCTTCCGGATTAACCAGGGGATGCCACCACGTGTCGCCAGAATGACGGCCGGAAAACACACCGCGGTGAAACAGAATGGTCTTTCAGCTCTTGACTAGGAACAGTAATGTGACCCGCAGTGTTGTACTCCAAGGTTCCCCTCACCGGAAAGAAATAAGGGTCTCATTTAGTGCTGAGTGGAGTGGTCCGAAATAGGTTTAAAATTCAAAAGCCCATCCCGTATTTTCCTGAGAACGTTCATCATTTTGCAGAATCGACAAGTGAAACAAAAACCATCAGAATGTTTGAGCCTGAGCGCCGGGTGCCGATAGTTTAGTGGTTCACTCGCCAATGCGTTAACCACCGCGCGTCGGGGAAACCAACGCTGCGCGGCCTGAGGAGAATGCAACGCCTGACGTCGAGTTTTTTGTTTCGAAGATGTGCGAGCGCGCACGCTACAGACTACATCACATAATTTGTATCATTAATCAGCTTTGATTGAATGTTGAAGATGAACAGACAAACATGATCTGCAATGGCAATACAAATTGCTGACCCACTTTGATCTTCAACCTATATTCGTGAAATCCTTGCCATTTCTGTGCAACCCAGTTAAAAATTCCGACAGAGTTTCTGAGTTCTATCGAATTCAAAAAGGGCCCACTGGACCATTGTAAAACGAAGAGTGTCGGCGATTTATGTCATGCAGTCATTTAACACGCACACAATTGGCCGCTTGGATACCCTTCGCTCGGGTGGGGGTCAGTTTGACCACGCTGAGATCTCAGGAACTAATAGAGTTAGAGACACCAAATTCACATGATGTGTTGACCTGTACGTGAACTCACTTAGGTCAGATTTTGAGGTTCTTACGTCATGACCTTTGCACTAAATAAGGTCAAACAAGGTCAAAGTCAATGTTCCTATTATCAATAAATTCGAAATGAGCGCCAGAACCTCTCCCTTACAGCAAGCCCTGGAGTAATAAAACAGGTTGATTTTGACCTCGGTCTGACCTTCATATCCGACTCTAGGTCAATCTAATTTGTTCGCTCATTTGTTGTGTTGCCTAAGAAAGTACCTCGAAGACATATGACTTCGTCTAACACTCCGTTGTTCCATCAAATTGAACGATTCTCTTGAAATTGGCTTCGCTGAATCCATGGCCTGATTTTGACATGTCATAGGTCAGCGACCTAACAAAGTATTCCAAATTGTTCATGCCAAACAATCTGTCATTCAACTGTTTACATTTATGCAGAGGTGCCGCCACGCCGCGACGTTCGGAAACCATTCCAGAAAAACCTTCGGGTGGGGGGGGGGGAGGAGGGAACTTGACCCCAGCCGATCGCGTGTTAACACGTGATTTTGTCTGTTTATTAAATAAGTGCTTAAGGCAGAATTGATGCCCCGGTAGCGTCTGGCCTATATTCTAAATATAAAAGGTAAAAACGTATGTTATATATATATATATATATATATATATATATATATATGCATGCACACACACACACACACACACACACACACACACACACACATATATATATATATATATATATATATATATATATATATATATATACATATATGGTGTTCAATAACAAGTAGGTCATATCCGACGATTTTTGGGAGGGGCTTTCACTGTCAGGGGGCCCTCTGTCAACATTGTGCCCCCTCCCCCTTTGCCAAGTCTTTGGCTGTGCTCCTGCTAGTGCACGGTAGACTCTGTCTACCTGTGGCTCAACAGCGCATCGAACAGTCTATTGGGACAATGAACGATGAACACTGACGCACCGTAATTGAAGAATCACTAACCGGAGGCCAACGAACAAAGCCGTTTGCAATAATACCCATAACGCACAAATGACAGCATATCACCCCATGCGGATCAAGTTGGCTGTAAAAGCCATACTATCAAACACGTCTCGACGGCGAATTCAGCCTTGCTGCCGGCGGTCTAGTGGCGTGATGGCTGGCATTCGTCGGCCCGGGATGAGCACTTATGATCATGCACGGAGAATGCAAGTGTGTAAATCCAATGGTGCTCCCATGCGACCATCAGCTAACAGTTAACCACATCTGTCCGCTCAGAGCGCTCGCTTTATTCGATCGGCGCACCAAAAGCATCTCATTCAAAATGGCGGCGAGGCGGCCGGAGTCGCGCCTTTAAGAAGCGTCTCATTCAATGGCGGCGAGGCGGCCGGGGTCACGCTTTTAAAAACCGTCTGATTCAATGGCGGCGAGATGGCCCGAGTTGCGCTTTTAAGAAGCGTCTGATTCAATGGCGGCGAGGCGGCCCGAGTTGCGCTTTTAAGAAGCGTCTGATTCAATGGCAGCGAGGCGGCCCGAGTCGCGCTTTTAAGTCATGGCGACCAAGTTAACATGATTTTACTCGGGGCGGAAGGGCGCAGCTGTGTGCGCACGATGCCAGCGTGGGAGCAATATCGGCTGACTCGCTCATCGGCCGACGGGACACTTTGTGTCGTTCAAATTACCCCGTGACGGCGCAATACTAACTGCTGCCGGTCGGCTCCCAGCGGGAGGGCGTCACACGACAACCCGGGACAAGCGCTTACATGTACACTGGTACCGGCATCACTGGCATCACACGACAACCCGGGACAAGCGCTTACATGTACACTGGTACCGGCATCACTGGCATCACACGACAACCCGGGACAAGCGCTTACATGTACACTGGTACCGGCATCACTGGCATCACACGACAACACGGGACACGCGTTTGCATGTACACTGGTACCGGCATCACTGGCATCACACGACAACCCGGGACACGCGCTTACATGTACACTGGTACCGGCATCACTGGCATCACACGACAACCCGGGACAAGCGCTTGCATGTACACTGGTACCGGCATCACTGGCATCACACGACAACCCGGGACACGCGCTTACATGTACACTGGTACCGGCATCACTGGCAACACACGACAACCCGGGATACGCGCTTACATGTACACTGGTATCGGGCTATCAGCTGCCGACATGGCACACTCGTCTGATTTGAGCTTTGGCTTTTTATAAACCCTACCGCATCGTATTACTCAGTGCTGGTCGGCCAGCTGAAATTAGGACATGCATGGCTACGGCGTCCAATTTGGAATGCTTTGACTTGTGTGCCGAAATTACGTAAGTTGTTCGGTGCATTAGCAAGGAGCATTATACAGATAGATGAGACAGTAGTGTCAGCCTTATTCCTCGGAAAAACCAGGAGAATTGGAAATATAGTTAGGTTAATATTTCGGCAACATGCATTTATCGAAACAATGGCGGAAGCAGCCTCTGCTATTGTTTTGATGAAGGCATGTTGCCGATATATCAACCTAACCATATCTCCTTTCTCTTGGTTTTTTCTGAGGCAAAAGACCTATACCACTGCCTTATCTTTGTGTATGGAAAGTTCAACTTTGCTCTAATCCTGGGAACACTATCAGCGGGCAACGCAAGTCTCGCATTGGTCGACGTGACCCCGTTTTGTTCGAATCACCCCCTGACAGCGGACAGCACGGACACGGCGTCCAATGTGACATATTTTCCCTCGGGCATAAAAGGTCCAACCTTTTGCTGACGACCTTACTGTGGGAGCCCCATCTA